TTCAAGTAAGTGGTCCAGTTGGGAGTGAAATTGTCAATTACAGTGTCAAGATTAAACTAGTAGTTCAATATCCTTGCAGCATCACTGGTCAGGCACAAAGCCAGTGATAACTCTATAAACACTCGAAGTAGGCAAATGGGAAATTGAGAATGATAAATTTAATATGACAGGTAAATAAGAGCTGTAGAGTGGTCAGTGTATAGAGTGACTTCAGTTGTTCACTCACGTATGAATTGCATCTCATGTATGAATAAGAATACAGCTGTGTTTAGGGAATGCAAATCAAAATGCTCACATAAAAGTTTGTAATGCATATCTGAAAAATAATGTTTAGGCTATATATCCTGGTACAGTGATTTTTTTTTTCAAATGTACATTTAATACAGCTGTTTCAAAAAGATGGTTGTGTGTTCCTGTGAGCATCTGAATGTTTGTTACGATTAGGAATAAGTAGTCAAAATGTCTATCAGAGATGATGCAAATCTCACACATCTGAGATACATGCAAATCTCAAAGACTTGCTCACTTTTGCATTCCCCAGATTGGTACAAGAGTAGGCAAAAATGTTTCATGACTATGAAAGTGGGTGCTGCTGTATTACTGTTAATTACAATTAATGGTTGATATACATGCACCTTGTTTTGCACATCCATATGAAGAAGATCAAAATGTTGGTAAAAAAAGAAGACAATGTAGTAGGACTACCACACTTATTGAAGGATTATAGGATTATAGAATCATAGAATGGTTTGGGTTGGAAGGGACCTTAAAGATCATACAGTTTCAACCCCCCTGACATGGGCAGGGACACCTTCCACTAGACCAGGTTGCTTAAGGACCCATCCAACCCCAAACAACCTGGTCTTGAAACAGATATGGAAAAAAGAACTGTTTAAGTGAAATGCTTAATCAATTTCAGAATTATAGATAATAAATATGAAATCCCAAGTTAGTTATTTTGGCTTTAAGAAAAAAATTATTATCAACAACCGTGAGATAAACACACTTCTACTTCAGCAAAGTCGTTTTTTCTAAAAAAAAGTGGCTTTCTCTACTTATATTTTCCTGTTCTATTGTAGACTTACTAGAAATCATGTTTTTTTGTCAGGAGTTTTTTCTGCCTCCTGACTCATGGTTTGACCCAGTTGTGCATTATGTATATGTAGAAGAGCACCTCTCTTTTCCACTGGGTGCATCTGGAAGATTCAGTGACCGCAGAACACTTGCGTTATTACCAACACCGTCAGCTTCGCCGTCTTGATGGGACGATGCAGAGCTCAGCCTAAAGGTCCTCATGGGCCATGGAAAGAAAGATTGAAGACATCTCTGAGTTCTTCTCAGAAGCGGTAAGATAAATATATCTCATTGGGGGTTTTGTACTGAGGATTCTTTTGTTGTCAGGTCAACTCATAAACTTGGCCAAGTTAAGAGGAAAGTAATGAAAAGTGGACAGGAAGGAAAATTTTGTTTCAGCTAAGTGAAAATGTGATTGAAGCAAGTGAGGATGTATGGAATTCCTTGACTGCATGGTATATGCAAACAGTTTGTCAGAGATGGAAAATGGAAGACTAAGGAAGAGAACTACTGTTCCTTTCTGCTACTTGTTATTATTTCACTGTAGGTGAACATCACAAGCAACTATTCATGTGAACAGAAATTTGTGGGTGACACACTTTCTTGGCAAATTGCAACTTGTAATTTTTTTTTTAATTTTTAGATTTTTAAATTAATGAAAACAGCCATGCAAAGAGGATAAACAATCCTTGGGAAAGAGAAGACTGTTCTAAAATGTACTGTCGCTTCTTTCTCCTGGAACAGCTCTTACCTAGCAAAGGGAAAACTACCAGAAGTTAAAGTCCCTTATGTAAGTAATAGTTTTGACATTTTTCATGGCTGTGGTGTCATGAGTAGCATTGGAAATAACAGAGCAGAAGTGAGAAGGAGCTTTAGCAATGCAGTGAGTTTGTTTCGGTAAGAGGAAGCAGAATATGCTAGATTAAAACAACCTTGGGAAAAAAAAAAATCACGTAAATCTGTTTAATTCACCAAGCAGAAACAAGGAACTATCAGGAAATTGTGCTTCTGCATTCTACAGACCTGAAAATGATGAGCAAGGACAGCACACAAAAACTCCCCTTAGTAAAAATTCATTTCACCCACTACTGGCATAACAGAAATAGGAAGTGGCTTTCTACATCTTTCCCTCAACTCAGACTACTTTTGGGCTGGCCTTTCTGATAGAGTTCAGCATACCACAGGCTGACCTACTTCAGAACAAGTGGGTCATGATGCAACTTTAAAACAGAAAGCCTAAACCCCACTGTTCTCTGCAAGCAAATGTGTTCTGAGTCAGAAATGTTTCCTTCATCTTATCCTTAGGATGGTACATTGGCTCAAGAGAGGATTTTTCAGAACCTATGTTGGCAGGAAGAACCCAAGATTCTCCAAAGGAAGTTCTTCATTGTAACTGCACTGATTTTGCTTCACAATGTCTGTCAGAGTTCCCTTCAGCACCGTAGATAAATCTACACTGAAACCTTTCAAAGCCTCTTGAAAACAGACCAATGAGTGTTACATTATCTCAACTTTCTGCCTCCCATGGAAGCTGCTAACATAAGCAAAAATGGACAGGGAGCAACTGCTATATAAATTATCTTTCCAGGCTGATATCATCAATACTTTTGATCTCTGTATATGAAACATGATTATCTCATCCTGGATGTCTCGGCATTTAATTTTTATTTCCAGTGTAGATATTTTTTAACTCCTTACATGGTGCATTCTTTGAAGTTGGCCTTTCATTACTCAGAGGCTGTGTGCACTCTTCAGACACTGAAAAAACAGCAGGGCAACAGTTTTGCCCCAGCAGTCTGAAAATATTCCTTCTAAAAGTATGCACTAATTCTTCTTTCCATGAACTTGAAGAAAAGTTGCATTTCTCCTTAACAGTCAAGGTTTAATGGTATGGACAGGATCTCAGTCTGATGTATCATCAGAATCCCTCTTAGCTACTCTCCAAGTAACAATGGATTTGGAGCAAGAAAGTGAGGGCAAAATGTACTGATCAACAGGTACTGACGTCATGGAGCTTTGCAGTCCTTCCACCTCCCTCCCCTGTTTTGAGTGTTTTGTTTAAATATGACTAAAACAATTAGAGGTAGTAATTCCAGTTGGTGTCAAGTAATACTGAAGGTACCAGAAAGGCCGCACGAATCTGTGTTTACGATGAACCAATTATCTTTTAAGGCAAAAAGCAGTGTCCTTGCCGTGATTGTTTGTTCATGTCATTTAAGTTAAAAGAACAGAAAAGGATTTATGTTCTGAATTTATAATTTGGGTGAATAAATATCATGCTAAACAAATACAAAAAGTTGGTAAGAAATTGGGGACCACTAAGATTTGGGGTTGTTCAAAAAGTTATTTTTAAACAGGGTTGGTCCAAGTAAGTAAATTCCGTTGGAAAGATGTTTGGATTGTTTTCAATAAAAGTATTTCTTATCTGCCTCAAGACTTTCCACATACAAACAAGACAAAAGACTTAAAACAAACAAATGGGAATGAAAAACTCAGAGACCACTTTGTCCCCCAGCCATGTCCTGAAGTAAGTCTGGAATTGGCCATTGTATTTTATTTCCTGGCTTTCAAAAAACCAAATTACTATCTTCAAAGAGAAGCTGTAGGGAGCCATATGAGTGTCTTTGGAAAAGTCACGTACTGTTAAACACTGAGTGGGACTGTCTTGTGTTGATTCATTGTCAACAACGTGGGCTATGAGATCGGCCAAAAGAGAATGTGTTTACTGCTTCCCCCTAATGATCTCTGTAGCCATTTCAGTATGAAGCTTGACTCAAATTTTTCATGCCATTAATGCATTATCTTCTCATGATTGCATGCTGGTTATCTCTTTTAATGGCATCTTTTCTTCTCTTTTTGATGAAATGCATATCCAAAGCAAGGCATGAAACTGATGCAGGGTCTGGAGCACAAGCCTGTGAGGAGCAGCTGAGGGAGATGGGGGTGTTTAGCTGGGGAGAAGGACACTGGGGGGACACTATCACTTCCCCAGCTCCCTGAAAGGAGGCTGTAGCGAGGCAGGGTCACTCTCTTCTCCTGGGTAACAAGTGACAGGATGAGAGGAAATGGCCTCAGGTTGTGCCAGGGGATGGTTTAGATTGGATATCAAGAACGCTCAGGGAATTGGTGGAATCACCATTGTTCTAAAGGCCTGTGGCCCTTGGGGACATGGCTCAGTGGTGAACATGGTGTGCTAGGTTAATGGTTGGTGTCTATCGTAAGGCCTTTTCCAAGCCTTAATGATTCTGTGATTCCAAAGTGTATTTTCATAGTTGTGCTTCAATCCTCAGTATCTCTTAAAAAAAATAAACGGATTAGTTTTTTTTCTTTTTTAATTTAATTAATACTTGCCCTCTTTCCTCAGTAGGCAACTATTCACTTTCCAAAAAGCTTTCACACATTTGCTACGCCATTACTAGTTGGCTCTTTGGCACTCTGAATTTTATATCAATTTTTTAGTGCGCTCCTTTCTAGATCAGCTCCTTTCCTCTCAGTGGCGCAGTCCAGAAGCGCTCGCAGGTAAGAACGGTGGCGGTGGCACTGACCCCGCGGCGGTGGCGGTGACCCCGGCGCGACAGCACTGACCCCGGGGCGACAGCACTGACCCCGGGGCGATAGCGCTGATCCCGGGGCGATGGCACTGACCCCGGGGTGATAGCACTGACCCCGGGGCGACAGCACTGACCCCGGGGTGATAGCACTGACCCCGGGGCGGTGGCACTGACCCCGGGGCGATGGCACTGACCCCGGGGCGATAGCACTGACCCCGGGGCGGTGGCACTGACCCCGGGGCGATAGCACTGACCCCGGGGCGGTGGCACTGACCCCGGGGCCGGCTCGGCTGCGCAGCCACAGCGACACTCCCAGCACCCGCCATGGCGGGCCCGGGGCCCTCAGCCCCGCGGCGCAGCTGCGCATGCGCCCCGGCCGTTGCCATGGCTGCGGGCGGACGCGCGGGGTCGGCGCGGCGGTGGCAGCGATGGCCGCGATGGCGCTGAGGCGGCTGCTGCTGCGCTACTTCCCGCCGGGTGCGGAGCGGGGCCGGGGGCTCCTGGTGCTGCCGGCGGCCGTGCCGGGGCGGGGGCCGCGGGTGTGGGGCGTGCGGCGGGGCCCTGCGGGGTGTGCGGGCCGCCCGTCACGGCGGGTCCCCTCACGGCCGGGCGGGGCCGTGGCGCACCTGCAGCCGGCCGGGGCGGAGGTGCCGCCGTTTGTCCCCGTACCTGGCTGAGAGGCTGTAATTAGTGACTTACTGCAAAGTCAAGGCATTCTTAACTCGCATCACAGTAAGGGGTTTAAAAAGTCAACGGTGACTGTAGGTGGAACAGAAAAAAGAAGTGTTCGTGTTTTTAAATGGCTGTTTAGCAGAAAAAGTTGCCACTCTGCTGCTACATAGAAGGTGGCTGGAGCCAGACCAAGATCGGTCTCTTCTGCCAGGCAGGCAGTGAGAGGATGAGAGGGCATAGCCTTATCTGTGCCAGGGGAGGTTTCAATTGGATATTAGGAAGAAATTCTTCACAGAAGCAGTGATCAGACATTGGAAAGGGAAGTGGCGGAGTCACCATCGCTGAGGTGTTTAAAGACTGGCATTCAGTGCCAGGGTTTGGTTGACAAAGTGGTGTTCAGTCCTGGGTTGGACTTAATGATCTCAGAGGCCTTTTCCAGCCTAGCTGATACTAATTCCTAGTTTTTGTCCTTCATTTATGAATGTTCTGAGTGGAGCCATGCTTTGAAAAGCAGTCCTGCCAGCACCATACCGTACCATATACCAATATGCTGTACGCAGGTGATTCAGTGAAATTTCAGAAGTGAAACAAGCTGGATGGCCGGCTCAGGGAGTGTATTGGAAAAAAGGATCTTCCTTTCAAATTCAAAAATTCGCCAACTATCTGCCAATGGTTTGTGGCATGGGCTTTGTCTCCTGCTCAAACATCCAGATGCAATAATCATACATTGCATGGATCATTTACTTATTGCAGCACCAACACAAAAATAAATGGAAGAGACTCATGATAGTGTAGTCATAGAAGTGTGGCTTTTCCTATGAACTTTGTAAAATGCAGAATGACACAGAAGTTCATCTAAATTATCTTTTCCCACAGAAAGTCAAGGAGCAGCTGAGCATTTTATCAGCTGTTTCAAAACAGGAAGCCCTGTGGTTAAACATTTAAATACTCCAGTTCAGTGGAAGTTGCAAAGGTGCCAGAGCAAAACTGGAAATGTAAAGCATTTTATGATTTTTGATACCTTACTGCACTCAAGCCTTTGCAAACACTAGAATAAATATAATGATTTTTGTAAAACATGTTTTCCAGGCTTCTTGGAACACCAAACTACAGCAAGTATCTTCAGGACATCTTCTTTGAAATTAATACTGATGAAATGATACAAAAAGTTGTTGGAAAAAAGAGCTTGTTCATTTCTAGAATAGAAAATAGCTCAGAAATAATATTGTTTAATATAATTTTTCATATAAGCATATGAGAGTTGTTCATCACCATGCCTACTCTCAGCAATAACAGCTAACCTCCTTCCAGCTCCAAGAGCTGGAACTGCGTCTCCTGAAGTCAGTGGAGCTAAGAAAGTGGAAGTGTTGCTGTCTACAGTGCATGTTATAAAACTCCAGAAGTCTAATTATGACCTGTTTATCACTTGTTTTTAAAGGAATTATTTTGGAGTATGTAGAAGGTGTTGAGTCAAAGACCAAATCAATAGATCTGCTTGATCTTAGACCTGAGTAAGTATGATATTACTTCAGATAACAGCACTCTCTGTGTGTTTATAGCATGTTCATGTAAAACTCTATATGACTGTATTAGACATAGTTAAGATCAGCTATTATGTAGAACCTATGTGCTCTACTCAGCCAGCTCTAGTAGGAGGGGTTTCAGAAAAATAACAAAGTGCCACCATTAGATAAAGTTACCAAAATCCATGGAGTTTATTAGGCAGAAAGACATGAAGTAAAATTAATAAGCAAGTCTTAATACCAGCATTGATATGGAAGAGGCCTTGCATGTAAGCCCAAGTCAGTAGACAGTGTAAGCTGGATATGCAGGATGAAAAATCACAATTTAAAAATTTTTAAGTTTTGTCTACTTATGACTGTCCAGTATCGTGCTGTGGGTAAAACCTATCAAGTCTTTTTGTGAAAGAAATAAGTTGACTGGTTTTACTGAACAGGAGTATAAACACTGAGAGGATACTCTTTTATGATGTAGTGGCTCCCATTTAGAAGACTGATGCAGAAAATCCCCTTTAGAATTGAATAATTCCCATTCTAACAGAAATGCTTGGCTTTCTTGCTAAGCTGATTTTAAGAGTGTATTGTGATTTGACTGCTGGATATTGTCAACCTTTAGTTTCTCACAGAAAGCCAGAAATCAGTAGTTATCTGGTGAAATGGGAAGAAGATCCAGTTCCACAGACTAGCTGTAGCCCCCTTGCTGAGGGCTCCAGGGGCAGCAAGTACACTGGACCACGTGGTAGTTACTGTCAAAACTAAGAGTTGTAGAAACAGCCATAGATATCTGAAGCTACAGACAGAGATAAATTTAAGCCTTTGCACACATAATTTATCTTGTTACTACTTAATGGACAATTTGTTTGGAATTTATGAAATTCCAGTTTAATTCAGATATTTAAACTGACAGTTTTTGACTCATATCTCCCATGCCTAATCATCCATGGAAATAATTTGAAAAGATAAATTTCTTGCCAAGCTACAATTTTTAAAAGTTGAATTTTACTGTACAACTTCAGTAAGAGAGGGAAGGAAATATAAAAACCAAGAAATATTTATTCTTATTTCTTTAGGCCTTTACAGAATGAGATAAATGCATAATATTTAATTGCTTACTTCAGTTTCTCTGCAAATAAATAATGTTCTTGGGTTTAAATTAATAATTATTTCCACAGGATGGACTGTGGTGGGTTGAGGGTATTTATTGAGTTTGTTTTCATTCTTTTCTCATAATTAGCACAGATGTTACAGCCTTAGTAGAAGAAATCCAAAAAAGAGAACCTCTCATCACAGCTTCCTGCTTGGAACATGTCGTATGTCTAGTACAAAGATTGCAGGAGAAGCTAGGGGAAAAACAGAATCACAAATTCTCTCTTTTTAAGGTCAGAGGCATCTTTAAAATAATTTTGGAAATTTGGGGGGGTTTAAGTGTTGATACTGTGAGTATATTTTTCCTGCTGTTTATTGTGCTGTATGACTGATTCCTTGGCACTTTTCAATCCTCTCTGCACTTTCAGAGCAACTGAGTCTGGCCTGGCTTTTCTGCCAGGAATTCCCCCAATAAAGCTGAGAGGTATAATTGATTCTAGATACTGTTTACCCAGGCTTATGCACTAGGGTGTGTTTTGGATGGAGAGAAATCAATCTTTTATTTGTTGAGTAAGAGTTTATGGGCCAACAACACCCGTAATTACATTTAAACAAAACCTGTAAATTGACCCCATGTAAATTAATTGTTGGGAAAGGACCAAAATATTTTTATACATGTGTCTACTTGTTCTTCATTTTGTGAAAATGATGGGATTTATGCTATTATTTTATGGGGTTTTATGCTACATGCAGTTGTCATTACAAATCCTGGTTTTCATTACTTTCTGTCATTACTATTATCTTTGACTATTGATATTCACTTTACATACTGCACTTGAAATATTTTTTCAAACAAATAGGATTTTTAAGAGCAATTATTACAGAGACCTTGCAGAGCTTCAAATCCAAGATCGAGTGTGTCAGAAGAGAATAGGTTTAATTGTATTTAATTGTGCAAATGAACCTTTCTTCGAGATACTGCATGCTACAATCTGACATAGTTAAACGTTGTATCTTTATTGTGTCAGCAGATGGCAATGTGTAGCTGTTAACAATGTTATCAGCGCTGTGGCATTTATTGTTACCTTACATTAGAAGAGAAAAAGAAGTTTTGTGTTGGTTTGTTCAGCTGTAAAACCCCTTACATGTTCCAAGGTATAACTTTGGTTCTTTTGACCAGCAATACTCATCTGGGTGAATTCTGCAAAGAAATGTGTATTTAACCTTGAAAACAGAGCTACGTAGCAAGGCATCTTAAATTTTAGAAGTTTCTCTTCCAAGTTATGCTTTCAACTGAGATAATGCTTGCTTTTCAAAAGCTTTAGAAGTTGTTTGTACATCACAGAGACTGACAAATCTTCAAATGCTTGTTCAAACTTGAGTGTAAATAATGTATTTGTTCATTGTTGGGTGTAGTGCTGTGTCTGAGCTTCTCTGTTTGGAAACAATAGAAGCAGGCAAATCCAATCAGTGCTGGATTATTTCCTTCACTCAAGAGTGGTTAGAAGTGTGTAACAAGAACTATTTTGATGTTCAGTTTCATTTAGGGTTTCTAAATGAAATATGACCACCAGGTCTTTCTGATACTAATAAAATATAAGAGATTGGTGGGAGTGAGATTTGTTTTCCCTGAAAAAAAATGTTCCATGTGTGCATTGTTTGGAAATGAATGGTTTTTATTCCTGTTGCACTGGAGTATAATCTGAAACAAGTGTATAAGATCATATTTTTGTTATTTCCAGTAATTGTGGTGATGGTGGCGTGTTAGGCACCCTGCAGTGAAATGAGATTTTATAGCAATTTCTCAGATTTTAAGCTATTCTGTGGCATGGGATGCTGTAGTAATTTGCAGATTTTTATATTAGATACAGCTGTAGCAGATTTTGCAGAATTGAGGTATATTTTTTCTAACATTGCCTTAGGTTTTGATTATTGTATCATTTGCACAGGCAATACTTGCTGGCTCAGAGTTCTGTGGATAAAGCAACTGCAGCACTGGGCTTTGGAAAAACAGAATTAGTCTCATAATCTGAAATTACATAAAAACCCATCTCGTTTTCCTCCCTTTTTTCATAATTTCAAAATACCTTTGTTGTTCAGAGCTGCCTGCATGTAGTCCTAAAAATCTTATGGGTGAGATTTCCATAAATTTTCGTAATTATTGATTCTCATATGCAGATGGATATTGTGGCTTTTTAAAAAATGAAATATTTTTGTCATTTCCACATATTGATTGCCCATTCCCACTTTGTAACTGAAAGTACAGCTTGTGTTGCTGTCTCTAGAGAGCAGAAATTGCTGTTTCTGCAACATAAAATACATTTTCTGTTTTTCTCTCCCTCTCAGTCCTTCACTTATCAATTGTTATTTCCATTTTGATGAATCCCTACTCTTCTGAGTAGAAGCTCTATGAGCCTTTCTCATTTTCCTTTTGGAGACAGGCAGCTTGGAAAATTTGAGATAAGCAAAAAAAATATTGAAGTTCTGGTAATATGTCAGTGATTAAATCTCACTGTTCATAAACAGTTTCTTCTTCATTGTTACTCTGCAGAAAAGACCTAGGGAATCACTGGGGTATTTTTAACATCCCTTTACTTCACTGTCAGCAATTGCAGTGATTTCCCAGTTTGTGATTTTATTATGGTTTAGACTTGAGGAGAGGGCAGCTTCTAATAGGTGAAAATTATTCAAGTGCAAGCCATGTTTTACAGCAGCCAGTTTATTCAAACACCAACCATATTATTTTTTTTTTGGTTCTTTTTAAAGTATCATGGCATGGTGACTTCCATTGCAGTATCTGAAACTATTTTCACCTTTGCTTAATAAACCTTAGTATGTGTTACTATGGCTATGGGCTCATTCACATGAATGATCTTGTAGTGTCTGATTAGAAAACAGTGTTAGAAACCAGTACCCTCCACAACCTACACAATCTGAAGCAATTAAAGTTGAAATTCTGTCTTGGAATTTTGTCTTGCTGAGTATCTTTGTTATGGTTTTGCACACCTTGTCATGACCTCATAGACAGAGCTGTAGTTTATATTTCTTATAAGCTGTTGTTAATTTCTTTTTTGTATAACAAAGTCAAGTGCCAGCTGGAAGCATCCCACACCCTAAAAGTCTCAAATTTAATTGGATTTCTTGGTTCACTGGCTAAGGGTTAATATTAGTTGGGCTTTCTTTCATCAGTGATCTTACAGTCATTGTGGTGTCCTCTTTTGTTTTGCCCATTCAGCTCTGGTCTAGGGTTGTTTTGCTCGTCTTGAGAAGACCAATTTCTCACCTTGGAGAAGGTGAAGAAAATGCAAACATGTTAAAAAAACCCCAGTTCATTAAAATAAAGGATAAAATTGCAATCAATACTATATAACATCTTCAGTGGTAACCTAATGATTAATGTGGGATTTTTTTTTCTTCTCTAACAGGAGGAAGAGAAAAAATTAATCTGTTGAATATTTTTGAGCAATTTTGTTTAATTTTTTAGCATCAAATGTATTTCCTCTCAGTGCCCCTGTTTCTATTTCAGGTGCTTAGAACACACATATTGCCCCTGACTAATGTCGCATTTAACAAATCTGGTTCCCGGTAAGTTGTTTTCAAAGTCAACGTACCTAATCATTAATTGAAGTTTTGTACTTGTAAATTAAATGGTAAGGAAACTTCAGTGCTCTTACCTTGCTGAAAGAATTCAGTTCTGCTGCTTATAAGCAGCTTCAGACATAATTGGGGATTATATTTCAGGTCTCTGTGGACCATGGGAGATGCAAAAAAGTAGCAGGTGAGATTCAATTTATGTAATTTTTTCTTCCACAGTCATAGTCTATTGACAATTACCATATTACAGAAAGAAGTACCTTTTTGGGAATAAACTAAATATTGCTAAAAGCTAAATGAGTCTTTGACATAAACTCATTTGGGAGTTTCACTGTAGTAGTGTTACTTTCATGTTAATTGATTTCACTGTGGACATATGTCTTATCATTTTTTCCTTCATGTCTTAAAAGCAGCAGCATGCTTTCTAGTTGAAATACTCTAAAGATTAGAAAAAATGGGTTTTTATTAATAAGATGTTAAAAAGAAAGAAGAAAAGGAACCTCTTTGGTCATAAATCTGTATTTTTGGAAGCAAGAGGAGATTTAGGATCTGAGACAATGCTAACTAAAATCTGTGGAAATAAATAATTTGGCTGTGCATTGGAACCAGTAGGATATTTGCTGTATTCAGAAATGAATTTCTCTTTGCTTTAGCTTTATCACTGGAAGCTATGATAGAACCTGCAAACTGTGGGATACAGCATCGGGAGAAGAGCTGCATTCACTGGAGGGACACAGAAACGTTGTCTATGCAATAGCTTTCAATAACCCCTATGGGTAAATAAATTTCCTCTGAGATTCTTCATAATTGCTAATACTGTTATTTTACAAATATTCTAACAAAGAATAGACTATTTTAAATTGAAAGAGTTCAACTTCTGAGTTTGTAGAGTTCATCTGTAGCTAATCACTGTAGGATGACACTGTCATTATTTTACAAGAGATCCATTCAAACATGTTTTCTATTATAATATTTTAGAATTAAATTTAGAAATTCTAACCAAAAATTTAATTAGGTATTCAGTCTTGAAAAAAATATGAGTTAGTTGAATGTATTGAAACACAGTTTATTTCAGTAATATCTACATGACCAGATTGTATTCTGAATGTTTATCATTCTCTTCTGCCTGTATGTGATGTGACATATAAGTACTTATGACAATCTGTGTTGCTTCAGTTAAGGAGAAAGAAGTGGACTTCTCCATTTGCCATTACAAATTCGATATTGTTTAGGACATGATTTAGAAATGTCACAGTTTTTGAGTTATTTTTGTACAATCCACAAGGTGCTGCTGTGTGAACGTCAGATATTAATTTTTGCACCTTTTGTTTTCTTCAGCAATTATTTGCCCCAGGTTGGAATTGCCACCTGTTAGGTGAAGGGAATTACATGTTAGCTACTGAAGTTTCATTGTAATTTGCTTCCTGAGGAAGCTGTCGTGTGTGAGAAAAACATTTTTTCTGTAAAGTAAGATAAATTAATTATTATTTTTTTATTGAATCACATTACTATCGGATGTCCTATTTATCAGTTGAACAATACACAATTACCATCAGGAAATTGATGTTAAAAGATTTGTTCTTACACTATTTGAAACTTCATCTCTTTCTTCTGTGTGAAAGGAAAACTTAGATCCTGCTGTGTCAATGTCTTATATTCTGATATTCTTTACTTTAGAAAAGCATTTAATGAAGTTCATTTATATAGCTTGCTGAAACTAATGACAAAAATCTGTGCAAAAATCAAGAACTAGATTGTAACATAAAAGTGGAAATTTGGGTGAACTGCATTTATAATTGTAGATCAACAGATGTTATCTGATGAAATGATATATCTTCCTAATAAATATGTAAGTACAGCACAACATCATCCCTAAAGTAGGTCAGTCATCACTTATGAACACTCCTCTGCTTATAGATAGGCACAGTAGATCTTTTAGAAACTCCCTGTGTCTGCTAATTTTTTGCCTTGCTGTTACTTGTGTGTAAAATCCTGTTGCAGGATCTTGTAGTGTGGCAGCGAGCACCAAAGTGCATGGGAGCTTCCAAGGCTGAGTGTTGTTTCTCTGGATTCTGCTGTCTCTGGAGTCAGAGGTTTTTTCTACATAAAAATTATAGGATTTTTTTTTTTTTTCTATTTAGTGACAAGATTGCCACTGGATCTTTTGATAAAACCTGCAAACTGTGGAGTACAGAAACAGGCAAATGTTATCATACCTTCAGAGGACATAGTGCAGAAATAGTGAGTTATGATGAATGTTTCTTATTTATGTTTCCTCACACCATCGTTGATGACTGTGAGTTCTGACTCCCTGTGAGCTCCCACTGGAAGGCACAGTTATTGTTGCACTTCTATTCATACATCCAGGTCTTGTTAACATTTCTGCAGTGCAAGGGAGGATAGTCTGAGTTCTTGAGATAGAATAAACCCTCACACACAGTTTGAAATTATATTGTTATTTTTACTTTGTTCTGACTTCCCTTGTTTGCTAAAACATTTAAAGATACTATAGCAACCTGAATTATAAGTTTATTGTACATACTTTTTGGATTATATATCACATGTTTTTCCAGCTATCTTGCATTGCCTGTCATATTTGCAGAACTAAATTACAAGAACATCATTGCTTCTGTTCTTGTATTTCACAGAGATCTGTACTTCGTGTACAGAACCAGTTGGAGCTGTAGGGGAACGAATTTCTGAAATTTATAGTGTGTTAACTGGGAATATGTGGGATGCTGAAATGTCAAAGATCTATGAAATTAAAACAGTTTAGGCTTAAAAATGCTTGGTTTCCTCTCCCATGCACTAGGACCCCTATCAGCAGCAGCAAGTGCCTTGATACACAAATTTCAGTTTGAAAGATCAGGGCAAAAACATTAACACTCTGAATTTCGATAATGAATGGCTTTTTTGTTTTTTTTTTTTTTTTAAATACCTATACAATCACTTTTCAGTGAAATACTGCTGAAAATTGTTTCTGAAAAAACAATTTGAATTTAACTGTAGATTGAGAGGCCTTAACTAAAGCAAGAAAATTGTGGTTTACTATATTGGAATTTGATGTTTGTTTCAGTGTGGTTTTGATTCTCTGGATGCTCTGATTTACCCCTTACAATGGAGAACATGTTTGCTTATTGAGAAAGGCTGCAGTGATTTTATGGCATAAAATCAGTCAGGTAAATGCTTAAAGGCCTCTCCATTTTTTATGACTTCTTAGGGGTTAGATTAGACCCAGAGTGTTAGGAGTTGTGCTGACAAGTAATTAGAAGAAGGTAATTGCCAGTAGGAAATGATGTGTTTCTCTGAATCAGACCTGTTTCTGAAAGGCCATTATTGCATCTGATACATTTCTGGCAAGGGCATGCCCATAGTTACTCAGGATGAAAAAACTGAGCTACTGTTTTACTTTTTTCATGGCACCTGCTATTATTTATTTGCAGAGCAATCACACTGAATAATTACAGAAAATGATAGGATGAATACATAATTTGTTAATATGAATTTTTTTTTTAATGTGAAAATTTTTAATGTGAAAAAAGTAGTTGTTAAGCTTTTATTCTTGCTTTTTCTTAAATATGATGCTGTGGCGATGCCCTTGGCAAATGACATCGATAATGACACCTGATAGAGTAAGAGTGCACAGAGTGTGTTTGTGGGTACACAGAACTGTTTGGATGATCTTTGCCCCAGTCTCATCAAGTAACAGAGAAAACCTACTAAATGATAGTGCTAGGGAGGACTGTCAGACTGGATAGTAACTGGAGGATTTCAAAGAGAATTTTGAAATTACAAAAACCAGCATGTGCTGGCAAGGAGTCCACTTGGTTTGAATACTTATCCAGAATTATGTGGTAAGGATTTGTTGCTGTTCTAGACCTGTTGGAAGAATTCTACAAGTTTTCTGTATGCCATAAAATATTATCAGGTCTTTGTCTTATTTAAAAATAGTAATCCTAGCCCTTGTTTAGTTTATTTAAAATATATGTATAAATGGACTACTTTAAACTTTTTCTCTCCAATGTTTCTCGCTACAGGTGTGCTTATCATTTAATCCTCAGAGCACACTGTTGGCAACTGGAAGCATGGATACCACTGCCAAATTATGGGATCTAGAGAAAGGAGAAGAAGTAGCCACTTTAAATGTATGTTTGCATTCCTTATGTTTTCAGAGGTGCTCCTTGCTTAGTTTTCCAACTGAGATAAATAACAGTGTAACCATTACAACTGTTTAAAACCTTGCAGTTTCTTTTACCAGGTGATCCCATAGTGACTGCAGTTATAAAACAAAATAAGAAAACTTGAAGGGAATGAGAAAAGCTTTGGTATTTTATGAGTCCTATTTATCAAAAGACAGTTTCTCATTGCAGTGACATTACTGCTATAGATTAGAATCCCTTCCATCACTTGTTAAAACCTACTGCTCTACTGTCAGTTGTGACCTCCTCTGCATGGAGGAGGTAAACACGGGCAGAGGACAGCCATCCAGTTACCTCTAGATTGTCATCTCTCTTTGCTCTGCATGGCTTGCTGGCATTCCCCAGGGTCAGACTGGCCTCTGCTGCTTCAGGGCATTTCTCTCACATAAATCCTAAGTCATATGTAGTGAATAAGCTTCCTGCTTAAGTGATGTGCCTGAGTTTTTGCAGTTGTTGGGATATTGACTATTCCACTGTCAGGTAGATCGTTCTGTCAAAATTGTGGTGTACTGGACAAGACAGTAAATAAAATAGTGATGAGTTATGGAAGGATTATGCTGCTGAAAAAAGATTACATATTAAACTATATTAACGGAAGAGTAATAATTTGTATTCTCATGCTCCTTTTCAAAAATTCTCTCAGGGACACTCAGCAGAAATTATTGCTCTGTCTTTCAATACCACTGGAGACAGGATCATCACTGGCTCCTTTGACCATACAGTAGGAGTATGGGATGTTGGCACTGGCAGGTACTATAGTACTAATAAATATAATTTTACTTTGCATGATTTCAGGACAAATTAAATAGAAAATGTTGAGCTACACCTTATTTCATGCTTGCTTATTTCAGCTTGTATTTAATTTAGAGTATATGTTCTTTCATCTTGTAATTTGTTACTCCTGTTCTCTTTGTTCTTTTGAAAAGGAATGCTGCTCATGAAATGCTTTTGGATGTGTTCTTTATTTTCAATTTCTGTCTTGTGAGTACCAAAGAGACAGAAAGAATGGACAGATCCTGTGCATGTTCCTGGTGAATTCTCCAAAGAGAAATACATTTTATCAACATGGAAACTCATGATTTGCAATGTGTCTAGGATTTCTAGACCATTTAGGTAGAAAGTAGATTTTATGTTATAGAAAATTATTCTGGTTATGTTATCTTTAAAAACTATAGAGGGTGTATTTTTCCTTTTCACCATCCTTTGTCAATATGAATTTAGAATGTGTTCTTCTTTGACTGTAGAGAACAAAATCTCTTGATTAGGAGGCCAACAAATAATAGTGCAACAGGTAAATATGAACTTGTATAATACTGAACGAGAAATTCACTTGTTTTTTCAGTGGGAAACTCAGTGTAAGTAAAATAATAAAATGATCACCCTGGTTACTGACAGAGTAATTTATTAAGATAACCATTCTATTTTGTTTACAGGGGTTGTGCCTTTTTTTTTCTTTTTTGAGAGCAAGGGGAATACCTGAAATTTATATATAAAAGGAAAGTGTGTGTATAGTGATATCTTGGGATAATAGACAATATATATAAAAGTGAGACTAAGTGTGTGATTTATAAGTAGTATACCCATAGTGTATCATTTAAGTCTTGATTCTCTAATCTTTGAGCTTATTCAACATCAACACTCATTCAGCAAATCGACCTTTGAATTCAACTTCCTTCAGCCTGATGTTCTTGCAAGTGTTTTTGTGTGAAAAATACTTTTTCCATCTTATTGTTTGAGCCTACAGTGAAATCAAAGTCTGGGGATTTTCATGTTGCATTTTTTTTTCTATGAAATCAATATGGACTTCACATCAGGGCCAATACCAGCAATATGAAGGAGCAGAGTCTCACTGGCTGCTCTGGTGATTAGCTAGCAGGCAATAGAATTGTTCCAAGGCCAGCAGTCAGCCTGTCAGATGGCATGAGCCATCTGGGCATGAATACATTTAGAAACAATGGAAAGTTGCAGTCAGAAAGACTGTGAGCAAATAATAATTTTCTGTTGACAGATTCAGGTAGATCTGAAAAAAACTTGTAAGTGAGGTTTTGTGTACTTGTTTTTCACCATGTGAGTCACATGAGGTGTACAGCTTTTCAAATTTCAGTTTCTTCTGGCTGACGCTGCTGAGCACATGTGTTACTGAGTTTTGTTCTGGGTAGGTGCCCTGAACTGCCCTGAGGGAAATTGATGTAGGGACAGAAAATCTGAACAAAGTTTGAGATTCTCTTCATAAAATAGCTATGATTTAAAAGAAAAAAAGGGTAAAGGAGGAAACACACTTTTGTAATCCAGGTCTGTATTTCCATGGCAGATACAGCCCATTGTAGTTCAGTTGAAGGTGTCTGCAAAGCTTCATTTGGCAAATCAGCAGCCTGGTCCTGTATCTTGGGTGAGGGGTGCTGGACACCAGCGTGTGAGAGAGAAGCAGTTTCTCATTTGCAATTATAGTCAAATACTAGAGCATCCATAGATCAAATTTCACTTGGAAACTGAAGCCTGAGGAAATACTGCCATGACTAAAGCTGATTGCTTTTAATAAAACACTTAAATGGGATTTTTAATGGCACTTCATAAGTCTGTCTTCTGTGTTTTTCTGTGTATCTGATAACGCCTTTTGTGAGATGCTCTCCACATTGCTATTTATTCTGTTTATTGATCAGATTTTTATGTCAAAGCTTGAAGGCCGCGCTGCCTTTTTGAAAATTGGAAGTTGAGGCTTTCAGCTTTTAGATTAAGATTTCTTTGTAGGTATTACTAGATATTTTGGGTGTTAGGTATTACAGTAGCAGCAGCCTTGATGACCAAATAATATGTTTATAAAATTAAGTTTTCCTCTGTTATTGGCTTGTTGATTTTTTGCTTTACTGTAAAAAAATCTACACAATTACAACAGTGTAGACCTCAGAGTGTTAGAAAGTAAAAAGAATAATTCTGTAAAATGCTAAGAATGTAATCTAGTTTTTGTTATTATAAACAAATAGCAAATTCAAATGCTCAGGAAATTTTCTTTACTGTTCATTTAGCACATATATTAATTTAGCTAGTCTTGTATATTTTGTGCAATGAATAAAAACATTTCAGTCACTTAAACTAATTTAGTTGTTTTTCTAGTCATTAGTTTATCTGTTATTTACAGTCTGCTTCTATTAATGATGCAGTGATACTAGCATTGTGATAATAACCCAATTTGCTAATCCTTTAATAGATGCATATCTCAATTAATCTTTTTTAGGCTTTGTTGCTTTACAGGCCATTAAATAGGAAGCAGTATTGGCTAATTGTAACCTCTCTACTCAGATAAAACTGAAGAATTTAATGGGACTTGTATTGCTAGTCTTGTGCAGCAAGATGTTCAGGATTAATGAGGATTAGAAATCATATTTCAGTTGGGTTGTCATTTGCCTGTTATTTGGGAACATGCTCACATTAAGTACCTGATTAACTTCCATTTGATCTTCGGTGGATTTTATAAAAGGTTTAGATTATATGGAGTTTTAAAGATGTACTGTTTTTACAGTTCATTGAAGTAGGATAATGGAAGCGTAATGTGGAAAAACTTGCTGTATTTGCTTAGCATGTAGATGAATACAGGGAATCTGTCGCTGGTATTGAAGATCATCAAATTTCACTGGAAATACAATCACTAAAATATTTTTCAAAGAGAAGGGAGGAAATTTCCATTTTATTCTTTACTGCCTCTTTTTGCCAAAAATAGAAAATGGAATTGATGTAGTACTAGAATTCTTAATGAGCTGTACCATTCCATTTAATTGCTTTAATTAATTAAGGCTTGACACCTCAACTATACAATTTTCTAAACTTAGGATTTATAGGTGTATATAAAAATGCATACTATAAATGTAAGTGATCATTTAAAATTTTCTTTTGATAGGTTGTTACATACTTTAATAGGCCACCGAGGAGAGATTAGCAGTGCGCAGTTCAACTGGGACTGTTCTCTCATTGTCACTGGATCAATGGACAAAACGTGCATGGTAAGCTGTTTGAGTAGGTAGTGAATACAGCTACTTGACATATAAAATGTATCTTTTTTAAATTGAGGAGCATAATTTTAAAGTAGAGCATATAATGAATTAGAGAATTTACAACTAAATGTAAAACCTATAATCTTACTGATTTCATGAAGTCTAGTTAAGTCTTGTTTAGTCAATACACTGAACTAAAAAATGTATAGAACTTCATTAAACTAACTAAAGAGTGACTCCTTATTGATTTGTATTCAGCTTTCATGTTATTACATGTCAAACATCAGAAAGGGCCTCTACAAGTTGCTTTATCAATCAACTCGATATCTCTAAAGTGAATTAGTCCAAAGAAGCAATGCAGTGCCCCTGTTTGTGTGTGCAGCTGTGGAGTGCTGTGACAGGGACACACATCGCGACGCTGGCGGGGCACAGCAGGGAGGTGCTGGATGTCTGCTTTGACTACGCCGGGCAGCGCATTGCAACAGCCTCTGCCGATGGTGAGTGAGGGGCCTGCCGCTGCTGGGGAGCTGCAGCATCAAACACCTCTGTCCTCTCCTCTGGCTCTGCTTTGAATGTAGCTTGATGAAGAGGAGGACTTGATTCAAAACTATTGATCGAGCAATGTTTGTTTCATTACAGAAATTGGGCATTAAACTTTAAAAGTTTTCTCCAGTGATGAAGTTCTTATTTTCATACTTCAATCCACTCAACATGTCTTTCCCCTTTAACTTCAAACTTGGAAAGAAATATTTCACTTGTGGCTGGAAATACATTTTAAATGTGTACATAAATAGCTTTTCAGGGGGTTGATTTGGTGGCTCAGATTTAGGCTTTAATGAAAAATGTAGTTGGAATTTTACTGATAGATTTACAAGCAGGCTTTTCTAATGCACAACAAAAGAATACACAATAAAGAGGTAGTGAAAGAAGCAATTTTGTTTTGTTATTGGTATGCAGAAGTTTTGCATGTTTATTATTTGTCTAGGAATCACAATAAATAGTTTTCTATATTGACCTTCTCAATTATTTATGTTATCCTGCATAATGACAATACTGTATTAGTTTTAGATACACAATTCTAGAAACAGGGTACCAGACTGGATGGGGAGGACTATTTGGATCTATTTTCCTGTACTTGCAATATTAAGACAAAAGCCAATGTAAACAGTTTCCTGATATTTAATCAATATCTTATTAAATAGTGAAATATAATGAAAGCTTTATAAATATATTGTACATGTATTCTGAAATAACAGGCTTCAATAAGCTGTGTTCAATGTGGACCTTTGTATTCATATGTTAGGAATTTTCCAGAAGAATCCATTTCTGATTAGGAAAGGAAGGCAATATTTTCCACTCAGATTACAGATTCTTTTTAGCATATTTTACCCTTGGAGGAAACTCTGTGAAGTTTGCCTTCTATTTCTTCCAAAATTAAACCTGAGGATGAGTTCCTTCTGACCTTATTCAAATGTTCTTACTTGAAATGGGTGGTAAAGCATAACAATCACATACGGCTCCTACTGCAACAGGGTCAGCAAGAGTCTATAATGCAGGAACAAAACAGTGCATTGCAAAGCTAGAAGGGCATGAAGATGAAATTTCAAAGGTAAGTTGTGTGTGGTTTGCATCTTTTTAAACTTTACTTTGTGTGACATCCAATCTAGCTGTTACTCCATGATGCAGGAATACTGTTAATCATTATACCACCATATTCTTTAATATTTAAGATTGATATGTCTGGCTAAGAAGTTACCTTTACTAAAAGAACATTCCTTTTGGCTAAAAGCTCTCAGACAATGATTGTTTACCAATTTCCCACTTCTGAGCTAAGATGATACTTACTGGGTGTGCTACTCCTTTGGGTTCCAAGAGCCACCTCTCTGTATTGTCATGTCATTACCATTTGGTTCCTTAGAATGGTGACAGCTACTTAAGTCCATTCCTCCAAGGGCTGGGCACCTGGCTTTGTTGCCATTGGAATACCTGGTTTTCCTTAGCTCTTTCCTTTTCCTGAAGCACTTATCTGTTGGGTCTGCATACACACTTGGTAAAGAGCAGGGGAGCAAAGGGGGAGATGCTCTCCTAAGTCTTCTTTCAGTGTGATCATTGTTAACAGAACTCCTGTCTGACCTGCCTGTGTTATTCTGCCATTGGAGTCCCACATTTTCTGACAGAATAAGCACCAGGTCTTTAATTTCTTGTTGGCATCTTAAGGCTGTTGCCTCTAAGGCTTTTACCATTACCCCTATTCCTTTATTCTACTATATGTGCTCCTCTGTACTCTTTGTAATTTCTCTACACACCTGATTTATGGAATGGAACAGAAAAAACATATTTCTGGGAAAAATACATGGAGAATCTTCTTTTCAAAAATGCATAAGGGATTTGGAAACACAAAGTCTCTTTCAAGAATCACTTGGTCATGAGAAGTGTGCTCATGTGCTTTGCTGGCTCAGTTTTGAACACCAAGGCTCTGTTCCAAATACATTTAGTTGCTTCCAACATTGTATGTATTTCTCAAACTTTGTTATTCATTGCTTCCACCTTTTCATTATTCTTTCAAATAGATAATCTCCTTAGCTTCCAAGCTAGTGTGCTTTGTTTGTGCTGCTCTTTTTGATGTATTTTGATGTTGAAATATTAATATTTCGAATCTAGGATGGTTCTTAATGAACAAAACTTAAATGCTTTCATTCTAATGATTAGTATATAAATAATTTTGCTGAGAGAATAGGAAGTTCAGAAGGATCATCGTTCCTCAGTTACTAAAGTCACTGCAATATCTCACACTGAGTGTAGAACCACTGAGGACAGTCTGAACCCCTGCTGCTGAGAGGATGGGTCAGAGACAGCTTCCATCAGGGCCTTAGTACTGGCATCATTTCAGTGCTGGAGGAGAGAATCTGCTCCTCTGTGAGCACGTGGAAAAGGCCATGTATTTCTGTAGATATTCTACGGAGATGTGACCACTTAGGAGTGTTACTACTTGGAAATTGGATTTCTGGGGAGCAGACATTTTGCCCTCACTGATTAAGTGGTTTTGAATTATATAATAAACTGGTATTGTCCAGTTAGTGCTCAAAAAAGATACCTGATTATCTGGAAATCCATACAGTAATGGCAGTGAATGTTTAACAAATACGAAGACTTACTATAAAATAGTTTCCAGTGCCGATTCTAATACTACAGAGATGTATGTTATTTAAGGTAGAAGTCTATAAAATATATATAAATTTTACATTGGAATAATGTTGACATTTAAATAAAACTGCTATTTGGAAGCTGTGATCCTGCAGTAAGGTCATAGTATATAAAGCCTTTGTAAATACACAAAGTGTTCAGCCACAAAATTTGCCAGCATGACTCTAGTGGACTACTACCCTTGATTTCAGCTAAAAAACTGAATGCAAGAGTTGCTGCTTTCTATTTACATATTTCAATCACTTTTATATGCTTCTTTCTCTAAGACTTGCTGAGTACAATATATAACTCATATACATAACTCATTTCTGTATTTTTTAAAGGTGTGTTTCAACCCTAAAGGCAATTGCATACTAACAGCCAGTTCTGATAAAACAGCTCGGCTCTGGGATGCTGCTACTGGACACTGCCTTCAGATATTAGAGGGTCATACTGATGAGATCTTCTCCTGTGCTTTTAACTACAAAGGTGATACTATCATTACAGGTAACTAATACATTCTATTTTTCTTTCGTTTTTTTGAGAGACATCTGAAATCTTGCTATGGCAAAACAAAAACTATCTGAAAACTTTCTGGGGCCAAATGCAGGTACCAGTAGTGACTTACAATATGGTCAAGAAAATCTAGGATTTCACTTTAGAACTGAGATTTAAGACAATATGGCCATGAAAGAATTTGTGCAAAGGTATGGGCATGACCTCCCATCTCTCCAGTGGGCACATACCAGCACCAGAGCAGTGACAAAGCCATTTTCTCACAATGCATTGCTGTGAGGGAGGTGTGGATGAACACAAGGCAAAGGAGCATGCCTTTTGTGTATTTGGTACTGAACTCTGATCAGGTTTCCTTCATTTCAGTCATGGGATGCAGGATGATCTCAGCTGAAAGTATGGCCCTAGATTCTGCTGTCTTTTGCTAGTTGTTGAGAAAAAATATTTGTGTTTTCTGGGTACGTTGTTGATGTAGGTATTAACAGAAATGGATAGAGTGAGCACCTAAATGATCCTTCACAACGTGTGTTTATTACTAGGGAGCAAGGATAACTCCTGTAGAATCTGGCACTGACTGAGGAAAAGGATCCAGTTTGATGTATGCCTGCCTACTTTGTGAGTTTCAGAGTGAATAAACTCAGCCTGTCAGCTCTGTTTTCTTTCACTCTCTTGGTTTGCCTTCTGTTGAAGTAGCACAGTTATCTAGATTTGATAAGGTTTGACTTAGAAATGGCATCACAGAACTACAGAACTGCAGAGGTTGGAAGGGACCGCTGGAGGTCATCTAGCACAACAGCCTGCCCTGCTCACAACCCTGTCATCCAAGCAGGCTGCCCAGGACTGACGTGGGTTTGAATATCTCCAAGGATGAAGACTCCACAGTTTCTCTACACAACCTGCTTAGTATGTGATTACTTGCATAGTAAAGAAGAAAAATAGGGTTTTTTTTCCCTCTTATGTTTAAGCAGAATAGTTCCTTATATTTCAATTAGTGCACATTGCCTCTTCACTGAGTAGCACTGAGAAGAATCTGGTCTCTTATTTCAATCACCAGAGAGAATCATGATTAATGAGAATGAATGCATAGAATAGCTCAGTTTCTTTATGTGTGATTTTTTTTAATTTGTAACCTTTTGAATAAAAAAAAATAGAGCATTATAGTAATCTCAGTTGTGAAAGCTGACTTTTGTATTAATTTTTTGTGTGTCTGTAATAAAATATTGAATTAAAATGCCAGACTTGCTTTTTTTAATACAATGCCCCATTCATGTTTCTGGAGAAAACCAGCAGCCATTTATGAGTGGCCTTCCTATTAACTATTCCATGCATGCTGCAGTTAAACTCCCCTCTCATACCTGCCCACATCTTTCCAGTCAATCTTTCTTTTCTGCTCAGTACTTATTGTCCTATTTTGAAGTGAGGTAAAAAAAAAAATTACTATCAGTGGTGACTTAAACTTGGAATCCTGGCCCAGTGATTAGTCCAGCATGAAGAAACTCTGCTTGCCAAAGTTTGGAAGCCAAGGATCCTGGCATGAACAGAGAAGTGGATGAGAGACTCCTGCAAGTCATCTAGTAGCATGCAATGAGCTTTTAGCCAGGCTTTCCTCTCCCAGAAATTGCCAATAGGTTTCACCTGGAGCAGAGCTCACTCTGCTTCCTGAGGGCACCTGGGAGTGCAATTGCTCTTTGCAGGCATAGTGAAGGAGCAGAACTGACTGGTCTCCTCCAGCAGACTCAAAGGAAGGATGAAGAGGCTAAGAGAGAGAAAGTAAGTGGACAACATAGAATTAACTTGGTGTGTTTTGTTGATATTCTGTATCTTTGGGTGATTGTGGACTTCTAAATGTGGTTAAATTTAGTAGGAAGTTACTAAAGCTGGTGTGTTGGGACTACCTCTGAGTGCTTGCCAGCACCCTTGTGTGTAAATGAAGAAACAAAAGTGCCTGTCATCACTTGGCAGATTTCCTGGTTATTTCAAGTAGTGCTGTACTGTGGGAGACGTGAGCAGAGAGCTGCAGATCATTTAAAATGAAGTTTTCACCAGTAGGCAAAGTGGCTGGCACAAATGTCTCTGTGATGCCTGTGGTGCTTCCTAGGTTTCTGTGCAAAATCTTCGGATGTCAAAAATGTATCTCAGTAAGGTGGAATTGAAAGGCCAGGAAGGGCAGTGCTATTCTGTGTTGGTTTAGAATTGCCCAATATCCCTAGATTGATGGGTACTTGTGACCTGGACGATTTTCAGCTGACAAAAATGGAGGAAAATTACTATGGTGAGATGTATACAATTACTGCTACATAGTTAAAAACTGAAATTTGACTTGCTGTGAATTATCACAAAGTAGAAAATATTCTTTGGACTGTGATTAGAAACTAAAGTAATTCTACACCCCCAGCTCCCCCTTAATCTTTTAGTTGGGTTTTCTTCCTGTTGCATCTTCCTTCATGATTTTTTTCTTATACTGTGCTAGTGAATCAGACATCAGTAATAGCTTTTGGCTTCAAGCTCTTGTCCTATTTTTGCAAGAAATTGTGTGTTGAGGTTTAATACAGTAAGCACTGGACTGGCAGGCTATCTGAGTTCTATTTCTGATTCTTCCTAGATTCTTGAGTGTGTAGAACTGCTTTTCAGGCTAAGTTATCTAAGTTTCCTGCTCACATGTGAAATATTTCACATCTGGTGAGATTCCCAGCACTGCTGGAAAGGGTGCCGGCTTGGTACCTTGTAAGAGCTTCAGTAGTACTCTAGATACTCTCTGTGAATGCTTTGATGTTAGGTTTTATGCACCTTGGTTTACCCACATGTGGATTTTGTAAATTATGCATATATGCATTAGCAATGTATTGCATAAATGTAACTTGCTGGAACCATGCTGTGGATCTGGCAGCAGCTTTATCCCTTTGTCTGATTCTACTTTAGTCCCTCAGCCAAAATGGTGGATGTGTATGTTCAAGCTCTATTACCTGGCACTTTTTAAAATCTGTGTACCTTATACAATCCAAATGTTTTTTAATCACTGTGTGGTTGGAGTGAGATGTAGCTTTCAACATTACCCTGAAATGCTGGCAAACTTGATTCCCTGTGACCTTATTGAAAAGGATTAACTCAGGAGAGCCCTGAAGTGCTTAGGCTTGTCACTGTAGAAATAATATTTGCTGTATTCTTTTTGTCCTTTAGGACCTTTGAAATCTTTTCAGGATGAACCTCTGTGAATATGCAATTCTGTTTTTCTGGGAAAGAAGTTTGTGTCATATAACTGCTCTAGGACAGAACATACACTTCACAAGGATGGGGATTTCCATTTAAGCACACGATTGTGTACTTGGACTTGTGACGTGTGAGATTCAAATTCTTTCTGAATAGGTGATGACCGTAATACTCACACCCACTCATGTTTTAAAAGTGGCATTTTGTGTGAATTTCTTTTTTTTTTTTTTTTTTTTGTCGCCTTCAGTGGGATCACTCACATTTCCTGGGTAGTTAGTAAAAGGATGTGGAAATATAATCCTGCTTCTATTTTCCAGTTTGCTGCACTTTACTGTCTAATTCTCAGCTGAAGCTGGAAGGGGGGCACAGTACCCATCACCCAGCCCTGTCTTCACTGCAAATTGTTTTAATTAGTTTGGTAGTCTAGCTGTCTAATAGAGCTGTGTGTCCTGCTAAGTGCTGCACAGCTGCAAGTTGCCTTCTGAGGGCCTGTTCCTTGTGATGACTGGGTTCAGAGTGGGTTGGGAAAACTGAAGTAGTGGTATTGTAGGTTTGCTCATACATGGTGAAGGCTTAGGAATGGCTCTGACTCAGATTTTTAAATTGGCTAGTATTGATGTGCTTTCCTTCTGAGCTGCAATTTGTTTTATTTAAGTATGTCATGTGGGTTCTTTATTTCAATGGACTGGTGGGCTTTTCCCCTCTATCATTTTGATATGTACAGTTCAGGATCACAGTGATATTCCTATGCTTGTCTGTCATGCAGCTCTGCATGAAACAGGGCAAGAGCAACTGTAAAACTGGCCTCCTCAGGAAAGTTATCTACTGAATTTAACAGGTGACTATTTTTATCACAGACCATAAATGGTTAATTTACTTGAAGACAATAAAAATCCTCAGAGGTATGAACAAAACTGAGGTATAGTTTTTCAGCTGCTAGGAACCTCAACATTAAAAGAACCCTAAACACAAAAACATAAATAATGAAGTTTTTAAATATCTAATTCAAATACAGTAGAATTGCTTTTTGAAGAGTAGCAGATCTGCAAGCCAAATGTTGCTCTTTATTGTGTGGGTGGTAGAATCAACCCTGGGGTGGCAAAGCACCTTCCCCTGAAGCCACCGTCAGGAAGGGGAGCACTGCAGCCGTGGCTGCTGCTCCCATGGGGGGCCTCTGATGGCCAGGGCATCCTGAGACATCTCCTGCAAGAACTTCTCCAGCTCCCACTTGAAGTTGTGTACATCCTTTCCTTTGATAGCTTCTCATTTCTTTCTGTTTACTTTGAATCTGGCTTCTATTATTTTGTTGTATCCTAGTTTTTATAAAGAAAGATAGTGAGCAACAGCTCCTGTTCACCTCATGCTCACGAAGAGGGAGATTTTTGCCTAAGGCTGTATGTTATTCTCATTTAGGTGTATTTAATACCCACTTTGAAAAAACTGAAAAAAAAAGAATGGGCAAGTGCTTTTCTGATTTATTCAACCAAGTAATGGTTTCCTTTTCTGTTTAGCAGTAGAAATACCTGTGATATCTAGACAATATTGCAGTAAATGCCCCTGTGAACTTTACAAGGAGAGGAAACTCCAGAATTTCTGTCTCCCCACCCTCCTCACTTTTGCAGGTACTGAAAGCAGCCAGAGTGAGCACTGATAGAGGCTGTACATTGGGAGTTATTCTGGGCAATCAGGGTATCATTTCTCTTTATTGTGATACTAAGAATGTTATATTTAGCCTTTTATCTCTTGATTGACTTGTAGCCTGGAACTTGAAACCTGAGTAGCTCTGGCATTAAGGTAAGCCCTGGACCTTGCTCTGGCTTATTTCAATCAGAGCCATGAATCAGATTTGTCATTGAGAAGCAGAGTTTGAGAAGCTCCAGGGATGGCAGGCAAATATTTAATAGGTAAAAAAAAAAATCCATAGCTCATTTGTGAACATTATAGGAAGGCAAAGAGGACACACATTATAACATAAATTTATTTCTGAATAAATTGCAACATTAAGAACTACTGTACAGAGAAACTGCATCACACTGTTACAACTGTCATGATATTTGTGCTTTGTAAACATTTATTCTATCACAACAAAAAAACTGAATACTGACAACTAACTGTATTTGGTTTAAAAATAAATACACATTCCCATTTATTAACTCAAACAAAGCAGTTTATAATTCTTGGTGCTTTTCATTAGCTCTCAGCCTCAGAAATGCTGAGCATTCAGAGTTGCCACTCACATTAGTGGGAGTTACAGATGCTCAGCAGTTCTTAGGGGCTGGCCCAATGATGCCAGTTATGTTCATTGTTTGCAATAAATTGACCTCTATTTTGACTGTAAAGCAACCTCTCCTGTGTTGTTTATACTGCAGAGTAGATCGAGAATTACTCATTTAATGTTCCACATTAGATTTTGATTCACTAACAATTTGTATTTTGTAACAAATGAGTGATGCAATCATGCAAGTTTTGTAATGGTTTTAAAGATAAAACTGAGAATATGGCTCTTTTTCATAAATTATTTAAAACTACTTCAAAATTTTCAAAAATATTTAGTGCAAAAGGATACTTTTTTTTTTTTCAAGAAATATTACAGAAGCATATACTGTTATATGGAAAATAAAACTTCTCTGAAATATTTTTTGGGAAAAGCAGGCAGGTATTCTATTCCACTATTTGAGTAAGAGATGAAAAGTAAGTATTTTCAAAAAAAACAAATTGCAAAAGAGCTGTGATGTCATAAGTTGTTTTTACCTTTAAATTCACACTCAGTCTCTTTGGCAGAGTGGAGAGAATGTATTACTAAGTGCATGATACCAACAGATCATCTCAACAGGACGATAGCAGAGTAGATCTTCTCAAACAATTATAGAAATGTTACAGGAATGTGAACTCTCACATATAGTCCAAACAGTTGTCTTCAAAATAAACACATATGTCTGCTGAAATTTTAACAAATATTTTGCTTTTTTTTAAGTTACAAAAATTAACCTTGAGATTTTTAGGACAAGATGGTGCTCTCTTAAGATATGCATTTCTTCACCTCATTAATAATTTATTCAATTACACTAAATTAAATAGTACTTTTTCCACTGCTTTTAATTGATATGTAGAGTGTTACATAGTGCTTTCAACAGAAGCACTTTAGGTAACAATTGTACTATCATGATTCCCTTTTGCCAGGCAGGGACACTGAGGCACAGAGGTGAAATGACTCGCCCAGGGTTGCAGGGCTGGGGCAGGACAGGGCTTGAGAACTGCTGCCCTGGCTCACAGAGCTGTGTGCAGGACTCTACCAGTGTAGCTGTACTGAACTGCACTGCTTCCCAGGGAAAAGGAATCAGGTTTTAAAGGACAGTAACTAGGAGATGGGATTTTCTTTCTTTCGGAAGGTTGAATAATTCAGGAACAGCTATGGAAGAGAAATAAATACATGGGAAGAAACTAAAATGTATCTTCAGCAGCTTTTTATTGTGTTGTCTAACTGCAAAGGTGTTAAGTTTTCAAAAGCTTTTACCCCTTAGCAGATTATGGGGATTTCAAAAACCCATAAATATTATTTATCTAGGGATAAGGGTGCCTCCAGGCATTCTGAAACACACTCTGCTTCTAACAGTTAAACTGTACAAATATCAGTGTTGTTTTAAAACTGAATGGCAGGCTACTATCCCATTTTACCTGATTTAATCAAATTGATGAAAACTGAATAGATTAGATAATTAAGCCTTCACTGTGTAGTTCATTAATTCATGAGGCTAAAAATCCATCCCCTCATCAGTGCATTCTACAGCACAACATGCCAAGAGTCCCTCATGGCACAGAAAGACAATAAATTCAGATTCACTTTGCTCCTGGGTCAGCTGTGGCATGGACTTGTGCTGTTTTTGTAGAGTTTGTACATTTTGCACATTTTATTCAGTGATGTTCAGAAATCAGAGCATTACACAAACCACTGCTTATTTAAACTGGAATAAACCAGGAAAGCTGAACCAGCAAGCTTTGTTAACCCAGTTCAAGCAGCCAGTCAAACAGGCTGGGTGTGATCTCTCTGCCCTCCTCGCTGAGCTTGCAGTACTGCACCACGGCTTGGAAGATGTCCCCCACTTTCCAGGACTTCCGCTGAACTAACTGCACCACATCTAGAAACTAAATAAAAATACACTAAATAAAGCACCATGAAGTACACTTGGGATTTGGTGAACATTTTCTAAGGTTTTGTGGAATGCATACACACAAACTCCTGGCAGCCCACCCTTTGTAAATGCACAGCTGTATGAGGGAGTGGACACCATTCAGTGCACAGCAACATCAACGTTCTTGATATTTATAAAACATTAATTTCTCTAGTTCCATAGCTCCCCAAAGACTGATGGGCTCTCATGACATTTTCTAAATTAACTGCTTCTGACGATTATTTATTTATTGCAAAGAGAGTAAAACCAGACAAAGTCAGTTTGATAAAGGATTGCTATTTGTCTTGTTATCAACAACTCATTGTCAAAATAATGGAAGTGTGATTGTCCATCTTGAAAAAAATATTTTTGCATTACTACTAGCTATATTTTACTTTATGTTTAATTTTCTGTACTTCCATATATACATGCCATAGTATTTAAAATATCCAAATAGTATTGGTGAGAGGGAATTCTGTGTAAAATTTTGTCACATGAAGACATTCATCACAGTTGTGTTTTAAACATAGACAGTATCTATATTTGACTTTTTTTTTTTTTTTTAATTTCCTGAGAAACCAGAGGTTAAATATATGTTCTTAAGCAGCTGTAAAAAAAAAAATCCTGAGTTTTGTCCACTTGGTACTTAATAATGGGCTTCACATGGTCATCCATCTGGTCCCTTTTTCTTCTGAAGCACATAAATGAAAATCAAAACTTTTCAATTCTTTGCATTTCACAATAATTAGTTTGCTCCTTCTGTTTTAAGTTTTAAAACACAAAAGAAAAGATTGTGTCTCTAGTTAGTGTAGCTGTTTGCTATTTACATACTGCAGCCTAAACTTTTAATATGTATTTTAATGATATTTAATAGGCACGTGATTTTCAAGAATGCTGTTGTAGGCAGGATGTGCTTCATTATTCTCTAGTGTATTTTTGCAATTGAATTAACTGTTTGCCAAAGCACATGGGTAAAGCTGACAGCTGTTTCTTTAATTAGATGCAATTTGGACTGTTGCTGTTGAATGCATTTTAAATTATGTTTATGATTCCCAAATGCATGTACTCAAGAAAATCAAACAATATCTCTGCTACTCAAAATGATCTTCCCATAAGAGACCAAAATACTGATTTGTAATACTTTTTTCATTAATTTACTTAAATACTAACATGTTTTTAAGTCTTAAAGCTTAAGCTTTCTTGCTGATCTTGGAAATGGATCTCTCTTGGTCTTTCCTGAATTGCTGTGGTTGGTATTTGGTGGGGTCAACAAAGGAGCCCCAGCCGATCATTCAGGAATAGAAAGGGTTTGCACTTCTTGTGGCTGTTTTGGTCTTCAGTGTTGCTCCTGGCTCTGGCTTGGAGAAACCCCAGGAGGTTTCTCAGTCATCTGTGTCTGTCCACTCTCTCTGGAAAGAGACTTCTGCTCTCAAAGCTGTACCCCCAGCTGGAGCAATTTATGAACAGCCAGGCACAAGTTCAGACTGAACTGAGGCTGCTGTAATTGGTGTTAGAGGCAAATCAGAAGCAGCATAAGGACTGAAAATCTTAAATCCAAACAATATCTCACATTATAATGATGAAATAGCAGAATATAGTACATGTGATGTCTACATGCAAATGTTTTTTTATTTTTTAAACCTTTGCACTTAAACTCCATGTAAGCCATGTGCAGCCTTTCAAATGCAGCCTCATAAAGGACTCTTAATTCTGCCTTGGCCATTAATATTTAATGTATCTTTACAAAAAAGCAAACAAATTCATCAAAGCGTGCTATAGAGACTTGGACAAGGTATCATGGTGATATTTTCTTATGCCATAGACAATCTACTACATATTTCACATACTTTAAGTTCTCACACACCTATCCTGTTATTCCTTTCTCTCATAAACAGGAGTGTTGCCATCTTGCCGTAATAAAGATGTTTTTGTATCTGCTTTTAAGCTCAATAACACTTCAACAAATCATAACTGCTACGGTTACGTAAACATTAATAGTATGCCCAATTTTGTAAACACTACCTTTTCAATTCTGTTTTCCTGAGATTTCTTAAAATAGATAGTTGGAATTCCAAGTTCAGAAGCAGCAATCCACTGCAGGGTGGCTCGCAGCTCCACATCAGGGCACTCTGGTTCCAGATCAAAGTTTATCACCAGGAGGTCCTTTTGACAGTTGGCTGTTCCCACTGAAAGCTCAGAAGTACTTTCTGGAAAAATAATCCCGCTAGTTACTGTGCAATTGCTTGTATTATCTTCAAACTGTATGTTTGAATTGATATAGTTCAACTTACCCTCAGTGTTTTCTGTCTGTTCTTTAAGGAAAACCTTTTCTTCTACTAATTCACTTAGAAACAAACAACAACAAAGCTTATTAGTCATACTTAGGAACAGTCTACAACACTGCTTCATGATGAATAAACTTCTCCCTCAATGCAAGACCTAGAAAACTGCAAGAAAAAGATTACATGGGATGAAACAATAAAATGCGGAATATATTTCATTATTTAATCTGTGAATCAGGAAAAAAATAATTGCAGCATTTTTCTGTAGCAGGATGAAGTACTTGTATTAGTTATGTCATGTATTACGTTTCACCAGGATCTGTGTATCTTTACAGTTCACATAATGACAAGCAAACGACATTATGGTAAGACACAGCAAGTCTCATCACCTGGGTGGAAATGCTGAATTTCCAATGTCTGTATTTTGCTGTGACAATTTTATGTCACTGACTTCAGAAGTTCCCATGTCCAGTATGTGATGTCCAGGCTGTATGTTTGTGCAGTGGGTGTGCTCTGGCTGCATAATTGCATTCACCAGCTGGCAGGTTGTACCAGGATCTTTAGGCAGGATGTACTTGCCCATCTCTTGATAATTGAATTGCATGTTCAGTAGAAACATTCCCAGAAACAATAGGTAAGATGTATTGTTGGCCAAATTATTATTATTGTTATTATTGGAAAGAATGCTATTGAGTTTTTAAAAATTGCTTTTAATTGATCCTTATTTGCTTTATCTTCCTTGTTATTACAATAGAGTTTTGATAATATTTGAAGTTATTCAGAGAAGACAGTTTGATGACAGAAAACTGATACCACAGAGAACTGTTTTTTAGACAGGGTGGTTGATGGATCTGTGTTCTCAAGAGATCCACCTGACTGGGTTTTCCTGCAATTTTTCACTGTCTGGTGCCCTCACTCTGCACAGACACCTGCATGTGCTTTTTTCTGAAACCTGGGCAGGCACAGCAGCAGGTGCAAAGCAGGGCTTGGCACGGTTTCGGTGACGTAAATGATTTGCAGATAAAATTGGACTAAACATCAAGTCTCACTTCAGTGACTACTTACTTAATCATAGGAGAAGATGGCATGTTCTCCTGATAAATTTCCAGGTCCATAATGCCAAGACTGCTAGTTGTACTGCTGTTGCCATTGCTGACAAAGCAAAAGTTTAAGTATTAGTGCCAAGCTGTGTCTCCATACATCTTCTAAAAATTTATTTCTGTACAAAGCAAAGTGGGAAGGAGCTCTGTTCCATGAAATCAATTGTGCTCAGCAAGTGGTCCCCTGAACGAAGCACACTAGTCTGCTCAAAGTAATGAGGCTTTTATTAAAATAGTTCTAGATCAAGCATGTATCAAGTGCATCAGTGCATCAAATAATGCTGTAAATTGGAGGGAAAAAAAGTGGACTGTCTTCCTGTGAATGGCTTATGCAAAGAACACTTGGCCTCAAACAAAAACTGAGTCTGCCTAAGTCCTTGAAAAGAAGGATTAGCAGGTACAGAGACGTCCTGCAAGAAACCTGTAAAGATCCAGCTCCCTCTGAACAGGGGGAATTCAGGGGCAAGGCATTGGCTGCCCATCATACACTTACCTGTAGGGTGAGTCCACGCTGGTAACCAGCAACAGTTTCAGTGTATTACATCATACCCCAAATACTATTTGGGATCTGATGGAACCCACAGGTACAGAGATCACCCCTCATGTTTCTGACTACTCTGAAAGACTGAGATTTTAATCAAAGCAAATTTGCTCATTGGGACCACAAATACACAGAAGTATTCTCTTTGGCTTCTTCACAAGGATGAAGTAGCACACTTGAGGATATTTGGAAAAAAATATTACCGGTTCACTTTATAACATCATTATAAATCTGACAGTGAATATTTATGCAGATACTCTAATAATCTCATGGACAGGTTGTGAATTTGCTGTCTGCAAGTCAATTACCATGAACAAATTCTGTGTGGCAAGTCACGGTGAACCACTTAATTTTTACTGAAAAACCAGCTAATAGTATTTTCCCCTACATTAGAGGGATTGATTAGACAGTTCCTTTCCCCACCAGGTGTTCTGAGGCATTGTCAGCATGCATTCAGACTTGCTGTAGCAATTTCTGTTCCAGTGCAGAGCTGAAAGGCACAATACTTCAGCTCTCTCAGACCAAGGACTTTGTTAAAAGTTGATACTGTAATAACAGGATGAATGTTCAGCTGCACTGACAGCCATGGTTTTGTTCAGTAATTTCAGCCAGCCAACAGTGCTCTCTGACAGAGACTCTTTCTTTTCCCTGCTTCATTACCATAATGTCTTCTCTCCTTGTCATCTTAATACCCAAGAGAAAGATGTAATTACTTGATAATATTTTAAAACATAGTCTAAGAGCACGTAAAGGAAAAACCTTACTCAATTTGATGCTGTGAAAGGGCTGAAGTCAAACTACTACTGCTCTATATAAACTCCAAGGACTAAATAACATTTTCAAACATTTCTCCTGACTTGAATTGGAACAAAATCAGGTCATAGTAGTAGGAGCTCTTGAACTTATTTCTACTCAGGGAAGAATTGGTCATCCTCTGTTAATTTGCAGCCCTGTGCCAGTCTAAGCAGATCAGGGCTCAATCTTTGTTCTCAATGCATGGATTTCTGGTGGGAATGGCAGTCTTGTCAATCTTGGCTAAGGAGGTGCCAAAAGAAACATTAGGCAACAACAGCAAATAAATCAAAAGACTATAGCAATTAACTTATCTAATGGCCTTTTTGCTGTATGACAGAGATGCTTTAGTGATGCCAGGATGTTTTTTCTTTGTTTGAATCAAGCTACTCACCAATATAAAAAGACCTGGCTGAGAATCAGAACGTGGGTAATTTTTTTCCCTTATTAAAAAATAAAGAAATAAAGTCTGCCATTAGACATTCTTTACAGTATTCTGAGTAAATCTCGAGCTGTTGCCTCTCACTGCTGACACAGGGTAGGTTTGGTGGGCAGACCACCCTGTACAGTGGGAAGAGACAAGGTGGGTACCTCAGGGAGCGCTCACTGAGCTGCAGGTAGCTGCTGGTGTCATCAGGATTGTCCTCATCATTGGCCAGCTGGGACCAGCTGCCAGTGCTTTCTTCACTGCTGCTGAGATGGGCTGGAAATTCTTCAGCTGTTTTCGTCTCTCCTATGATTTCAGCATCCGATCTGCTCTGAGGACTGGTGCTGCCAGGGTGATAGGGAAGGCACATTGACATTGTAATATAGGCAAACAAACTGGTGCCACCAATCTTCAGGCAATTCTGCTCATTAAAGTCAACCAAGCTGCAGAATTATAGACATGTGAAAGATTGGACAAGTTTATAATTTATACATAAAGCCCAGCAGAACATCTGGCCTGAGATGCTCTTGAAAAAGGACTTTCTTATGACTGCTATAAATAAACACAAACCCTAGATTTAAGTATGCATAGAAAAGTTTTAGCTTGTACAAAAAGATTTAGCATGTATAAAATACCTCATCACTGTAAAGGTTTATTGTTTAATTCACTTCAGTCAATCAGAGGTTGAAATATGTGCTATATGTTACTGCACAATGACAGCATTTCTTGTAAATAAATATTGCTGCTAAATCACTGTCCTACTAATGGGCGAATAGAGTTCTTGACAGGGTTTTCTACATTATTCAAATTGTAGATCCAAAAGAAGAGAAAGTAGGAAAGTATTGTGGGTTGTGGATCACTAATGATTCAGAGTCTGCCATGTCCTTACAATCTTCACTGCTTAGGCTGGGAAATGACAACTATTGCAACAGTCAGAAACCAGACTGAAGATGGAGCCCAGACTGAGTTTAGAAAGTACAAGGTTAAGGGAAAAATGCTTTAATTCTGCACACTTGACATATGTCACACGTGTTTATGCCACAAATATGTACACATGCTCCCAACAAACACAGAAACAAAAAAAAAAAGAAACTATATTTTTGCTAAGTTTTTAGAGCTAAACTGGGTTTTTGATAGAAAGAAAAGTAATAATCAATCCCTCCAATAATTATATCACTGTAGTGCCAGAATAACAAATAAAGCAAAATGTAGATTTGTTATATTCACTAGATATCTCCATTTGTGATTTAGGGATTAAAGCAATGTTATGTTCTGTACTGACAACCCTCTGCAGGATCTCTCTAGAGAAGTTCTTGCCTCCAGACCTTTATCTGAAGTTATGGTTAAGGCATCTGCCTTCAGTTAAAGCAGGAGATCACACCAGGAATTCTACTGCTCCTGAATAACTACCTTGATTAGGTATATAGTGAGACAATATCATTGTGGGTATCTCTTTTTGCCAAGCTCTCACTCTCAGAAGTTGCTGCATTAGTGCTGGGTGACAGAGAGCTGCAGCCTGTGCAGGGAGAACGGGACCTGCTTGCCTGGGCTCTGCTGCCCGGGCACTCAGCTCTGCCAAAGCCCCGAGCCCTGGAGCCCAGGACTCTGACACGTGGGCACCGAGCAGCCAGGCCACAGGGCAGGGCTGGTACTCAGCTTCTTAGTGCAGGACAGGCAGCTCCTGGTACCTGGTCCAAAACACAAGGGATTGGTGTGGGTGATGTTTCTTGGCATTCTGGTTTTGTTTGATTCATGATGCAATTACATCTCACACCAGTGACGCTTTGAACTGACAGTTCCCCACTTGTGAACAGTCACATGGAACAGTTTCTGTGTAACTGTGACAGGACAGGCTCTGTTGCATGGCCTACGTAGCAGAAACAGCTTTTTTCATTGCTGAAGGCTTTCATGTTTGGTTTTTTTTTTCCTCCTAATTGACTCCATGTCTGCTTGATATTTTGCCTGGAGTCCTATGTGCCTGTATCTGAACTAGCAAGTAATTTCAAGCAGTAGGAGTGGATCAGAGCAATTTCTATTGATGCTTTTATAGCTACATTATATATATTTTTAAGTTTTCACTTGAGCCTAGTCTTAGTCCAGACAGCCATGCCACAAATAGTTCAGATTTGTGTGAAGAACCACTGGAGGCTTTGCCTTCCCAGCAAGGATACGAGCACATCTGGAGAGCACTTGGGCAGCCTCTATTTGAGATTGCTTTAGAAGAACCCTGCATTTCATGCTGCAAATGAGGCCAATGGACAGAAATGGAGGCACGCTGAACCAGAACTGCACAGCATTGCTGAGCCAAGATGCTCAGGCAGATGTAGCCTCTACTTACTAATTCTGCCCTACCAATGCTATTGCTTTAACCATGTCATAGCCATGTTGGGAACTGTGCTTCAAAGGCAGAGGAAGAGATGAAAGGCTTGTAAACTGCAAAAATAACTTCATTTTCAAGCAGTCAAGATTCCAAATAGGTGGATTTCTAAATTTATCTTACTAAAAGCAGGTTGCATTTTAAGGAGGAGGAAGGTTAGTGCAGGAGAGTCAGTATGAAAGACTAGTGACACCATGGTAATTATCCACCTAATTGCTGCCATGCACAGGGAAGTACTTGCAATCTACTTTCTCACTTCAAGTAGAGCTTTGTCAAATGCTCTGCCTAGAATAAAATGAGCTACAAAATGGTTTCTAACACCAGCACCTGCACTCTTTCTGCCACTCTGAGATAATGAGGTGCTGCAGTGCTCCAAGACTGGCAGTTTAGATACCACTAAAGTAACAGATATAATGAAGTACTGTGATAAAGAAGAACGCCTTGAGAGAGAGCATTCCCTTCACCTCAGAGCACCCGCAGCAATACTCTGCTTTTGCACTGCACTCTCGTGCTGGCTCACACTTTACCTTAACAAAAGCAAGCTGCAGATTTCCTTATAAAAGAAGATCAGCTGTAAGGAGAGGGTGGTAAGCTGTGATCTAAACTCCATGAAAAAACATTAAAATAAAATGCTTTTCTTTTCCCTATCTAAATTCTTCCAGAGAAGGCTTGAACCAAAAGGTGAGGGCTACTTTTGTTCTTATTTTTCCTTCACTAAAGAATTTTTACTACTTGTAGCTCCAGGCTGTAAACACAAAGTTAAACCTCAAGCTCTCAAAAGTCTGGTCTTGTTTCCAGGTACACAAAACGTTACTTGCAACAAGTATAGCAAAGAACTACAGGTCAAATCCTGCTATTGTCTGTTATACACTAGCACTGATTTTTATTAATCTATTTTTTAGTTCAGATATCAGACTGTGTTAAATAAAAGTTTAAGCTTTGGTCCATCTTTCCTGTCTTATGAGAGACATAGATGTCTGTAGAGAGAGAACTTGTCTGGGCAGTATTACATTTAAATCTTAATACCATAATGTCATATTCAATATAAGTTTTCTCCAGAAAGTACTACTGTGACACATGATTGGGTGATTTTCTGCCAAAAGAAATCTGTAGTCAAGACTTAGCCTGCTTATTTCTTTAAAAGTACCACTCTTATATTCTTTCTCTATCGAAATAACTTTTACTGTGAAAATAAACCAAAGAACAAAGCAATGTGCTGATTTGCTGTTTTCTCACTTACCTACTTACTGGGGAACTGGAAACCACGTGTTTCCCATCCAAAGCTTCTGGAGGCTTTGCTTTGCTTTGCTGCCCCTTTCCAGATGGGCCACATGAAGTCAAGGACTCTGAGTCTTTATCTGGCTCATCTCGCTGATCAGTTTCTATCTGAATTAAAGGCACTTCCCTAAGCTGTCCTGCAGGGAGGCTTCCAGGGCTCTTCATGTGCTCTTTTTTCTCATCCAAATTCACTTCCTCCATTGTGGGTTTGGGCTGTACCTGGGTTGTGCTTTGGGGATGTTTGCTTGCCAGCACGTGCTCTCGGCTTGTATAATCAAAGGAATCCTGGACAACAATTAAATTTTTACCACTTTCAACAATATTTGCAGCCAGTCTTTTTGCATATTGTTCCACGTGTGGTGGAGAATCACTGTGAAACTGGTCTGCCTCTGTAGCCTCTGCCTCATCTGCTATGATTTTGTTCTTGCGCATCAGAGACTCAATGGAACTGGCCCAGGTCTCGTGGATCAGCATGTCTGTGATCTGGTCAGTCTTGCCTCTCTGGTACAGGCAGGAGTCAGACTTGCAGAGCCCTGCAGAAGCCATGGTACTGACGGGCTGTACACTTAGTGAATCTTGGCGATGGTGGGCAAACCCATCTAAGGAATTTGCTTTAATTGGGACATTCACTGTAAGCCTGGAGCCTGAGGATCTACTGTCAGGCATCGACGACTGCCTAAAGCAGAAAGGTGACCGTAGAGAGGGTGCCAGCAAACTGCCACACCAGTCCTTTGAATTCCCAGAGGATGATGCATTATCTTTATTTTCCTTTTCGATTTCTCTTAGCATATACCTATAAAACTCTTCTGTTATACTTTCTGTGCTGGACTGTTTGGATGGGCAACTTGGTCTTACATTAAGATGGCTATTTTTCTTGGCTACCTGTTGCAAGGCAGAAGTTAAGATACTGTTTGCATTTTTTCCTGCATAATAATCCAGTAATAAATCAAATCCTCTTCCTTCGTTTTCCATCTGGTTCACCATAAATCTTGAAAATTCATCTGTAATGCTCTCACAACTAGACTGCTTTGAGACAGAACTTGTCTGGCTGAGAGAGTGACCAAAGCTGTTCATGAGGCCTAGGGTATTGAAAGAGGCTTTGGAATCTGAGTCCTCCTCTGGTATGCTCTCACAGCTTGAGGCCTTGGCTCGGCTCCACCTTTCACAGTGCAGTCTGTTCCTGGGGTGGTTTGGACCTTGCCAGATGCTATCAACCATGGAGAGTTCAGTGAGGTTCATGATCTTGGCAGCCACTTCATTTGCAAAGAGATTGACTGAATCTGGTGTGTCCTCAAGGTTTATAGATTCATCTACTACTCGATTCATCAATTTTTCCTTTAGCTCAGGATGCTCATCTGTTTTTCTTTTGATCTCACTAAGCCGAGGTGCCCTGTGCTTCCGAACCACAGAACCATTGGTATGGGTTTCCTTCTTCCTTTTCATGGTTCTGCATGATAAACTCTGGGTCATCAGATATTCACTGCCTCTCTTCCATGCACAGAACCAGGGTTGCTTGCCATTTGAATTTTCTAGACAAATGGCAGCTATTTCTGTTGCCATAGAGACAACTGTTTCTGCCAATTCTTCCGCAAAGTCTGTTATACAATATTTGTCCCTTGAATTTTTCACCTGTAGCACAGGCTGAGAAGGAAGCAACACATGGTTTCCTAACAAAGACAAGCTAAGTTGGACATCATTATTTAGCACAGAATCACACTTAATCTTGGCTTGGTTTTCTGTATTTATGGTGGCACTGGAAGACAGCTGTTCTTGAACACCGTGCCTGCATTCACTGTTTGCAAAGGTATTTTCTCTGTCTGAAAATGATCTGTAGTCTTTCTTCTGATGATGATTGTTACTCTGATTTGGGGATTTGTAACAATCTCGTGCAGCTCTTTTCAGGTATCTCTTCTTGGGTGATGTTTTTGCACCAAGTGTGTTATGCCCTGTATCTACACTTGGTTCTGAATTCAGTGTGGAACCTTCATTGCTATTTACATCTTTGATATCACTCTTGCAAGTGCTTGTGACCTTTTCAAGATCTTTACTAGTACTGGTGCTGTAGGATGTACCAAATGGCTTAGCAACAGAGTGATCAAGGGGGCTGTGTGAAGTTTCACACGCTGTTGCCAGGGTTGGCCATCCTTCTGCTCTTGTTACTTTCTCTGCTTTTGCGCTTTCAGAAAAGAGAGGAGAACACTCTTCGAGTTGCCTTATGTCGTTAATCTTCTTGCAAGTGAAATATATTATATTAAAAAGCAACTCGTTTGCAGTCTCTGTGAAAAAGTCTTGTGTACTTAAGCCATCCTCCGAATGGGCTTGTAGCTGTCTCTTCTTCCTAACTTCTTCTATAGAATGTCGTAGAATAATATTGGATAAGTTTTGTGCAAGTTCATCCCTGATTACTCCATCAGCACGTGGAATATGTGGTCTTGCTGCTGTTTCAATAATTTTCCCATTTATGGATTCCATAAAATGCCCTACATTTTTGTATGTGTTAGGTTTTGTCAGAATGAGGGATGCCTCTTTCAGAAGCGCCTCTGCAATGCTCTCGTTCAGCTTCTCCATGCTGCTTCCTACAGCTAAGCTGCAATGCAGAGTAATGGCTGCAGAGGCCTGAGCAGCAGACAGAAGTCCACTGGAAGCTGCAGGGTATTTCTCCTCCTTTGTTTCCCCCAGGCCACAGATGGCTACAGCACTTGCCACTTGAGTCATGCCACAGAGCGCAGATGGGAACGAGTATTCTGTGCCAGCACAGTCGTCAAGGAGCTGTGAGGGTGCTGCTTGCACCTCTTCATTAGCAACCACTCCACTCGAGTCTGCCACTTCCTGCTCCCAGCGGAATTTTTCCACAGCCTGGGGACTGGAAATGGTTCCAATGACAGTGGCTGCACAAGCCAGAGCCACTTCCAGTGCACTTTGGTCATGTCCGTTTGAATGTTCTTCCTCAAAGTAATCTGAGACTTCAGCAGAGCTTTCTGCCTCAGCCCAGGGGCTGGGGCTGGGGAAGGCAGAGCCTGGCCAGTCCGGTACGTGCTCAGAACTGTCCGGACTCTGCACTATGATGATCTTTGGGAGTTCGTTCCATGATCGGGAAGCAGATACATCTTCTGACTTACAGGAGCTTCCTGCAGAGATGCTGACTGCAGCCTCCTCACTGAAACTGGGTCGAGACTGTGACAGTCTAATGAATGCATCCTGCAGAACAGATTCTGCTAAATTTGTGGCGTACTGACCTGTGGTCGCCTGCTCATTCTGGAAGGGGGGATCAGTTTTCCTGACACCTGCACAATCTTCCCCATCTGTCTTGCTGCTGTGTTTCGTTGTGGGGTCATCCCGAGGCTCCAGCTCCTCTTTAGCCATTTTGGTTACAGATACATCTTCTAACATGAGTGCCGAGTTTTCAGCTCCACTAGTCAAATTAGTAGTACTAAATGATGAAGTATCTTTTTCAGCTAATTCCTTCTGCCACAGTATTTCCTGGTCTGACTTATCTTCAGGCTGTGAGATGCCATGTTCAGCCCCAGCATTCACAGTTTCAGAAACCTGAGCAGCTGCATTATCTTTATTAATGCAGCTCCCTTCAAGAATGGACGGCAACCTGGCTTTTCTATAGTGAATGTTTTCAAATCCCTTTCCTTTATTTTTTTTGACATCTGAAGACGCTTCTGAAGCATTTAATTTTTCATGACCTGTTGAGAAAAAAAAAATAGTGTTTGGAGAGTAACTTGTGACTTCTAAAATAAAAGAGCTGCACAACTTTGTAGTCCATTACTGCTCTGTAAAAGTACTGCACAGCCGTGTACTTTGTCTTTGAACAAAACTTAAAAAATATGAATGGCTGTCCATTTTCTAAATTACATATGCATGAATTAACATCAAGTGCAATTTCTGTGAGCATTGCTATAGCTGTTTGGCAGTATGAACAACAGCATAACTATGCTCAGTCCCCCTGCTTTTACCAGCTTTATATTCATCAGCCTCGTTGTCATCCTCGAGGTGCTCAGAGGCCGTGAGGAAATCTTCTTCTATTGAGGACACGGAGCAGTTTGTGTCATCCTCAGGCTTTAGGACACGAGTTTCTATCTGCAGCTGCCTCTCCTGAACGAGCTCAAGTCCAATCAGAAACTTGTTTATTTCAAAAATAATGCAGCTTGCGCTGTTCCTCCTGTCCCCCCTCGCACACTGAACCAAGCAGACATCTGCCAGCCAAGGACACTACAGGGGAAAAGAATCTCAGTTATTCAATTAAAAAATAACACTTATTTTAAGCTTCTCTCTCTATAAATATCTTGGGAATGTTCTGTTGCAAAGATGCAATACATTTTGTCATTTCAATGTTAGCAACAGTGTGCAGTTACACGTATGCCAAAAAAAGATTTCTTGGACTGACAGCTTTTGTTATAGAAGTGTTTTAGTAAAGAACCCAGCTGTATCACAGGGGATTGTTTGTTTTCAATCAACTTGTTCTTTTAATGACAGAGAATTATTTTATGTTAGTCATCTGACATGCTGTTATTAATCACCTCACAGTACCCAGTATTACTCCTCTGGAGGGAATTGTTTGTGGGCATGAATTCCTTTTCAGGGTCATTTCTGTTGCAATGCTTGTTATCAGCCCTGTAAATACTGGCTGATAAGACTGTGAAGAGCAGGTCACCTTTAGATGTTCCAACAGACCATTTTTAAATAGTGTTTTATTTTGTTTGTTCCTTTGCTGTTCTCCCTCTTTGTCCAAAGCCCCATTATTTCAGGCCAATACAACCTCCCACTGGAAATGGGGATCCAGTGCCCAATGTCCTCAGCCTTTATATAAAACTGCCTTCTCTAGAGAAGCTGCACAATTAAGTTGAACATTGGACAGAAACTGAGAGGAAGGAACTCTTGTTATCCTCATTTTACTCATAAAACAGTTGGACATTAATACAACAGAGTTGAGTCAATGTCTCTGCATGGGACCATGCTTGCTTTATGGATGTGTCCTGAACTAAAGCCAAGGTTTTGCTGCTTGTGATGTGCTTTGAACTCAGGCTCCCAGGAAAGAGCCAGCTTAGGTGGCACCAACTTTGGACTGGATTGAGGCAGAAGTTTTAGGCTGTGCAAAAGATGCCCTGGACCCCCTGGGCATTTGCACAGTATATAACACAGGAAGGTGACCCCATCCTGGACCTTTTGTCTTTGACTGTGAATGCAAACCAATCATCTACTAATAAAGAGAGTGGGATGAGTGTTATGCTAGAGTAACATGTTTATTAGCTTGCTCTTCTTTTCCACCTAAAAAATGTGTCTGAAAAGAAAACCAGATAAATTAGTGTGTTAAAACAGAAAAGATAAATTAGATAGCTGCTATGAAATTGAATCAGGCTCGAGCATGCACTGTATTGTGAAAAATGTTATGAAAAACACATGCAGCCTTAGATCAGACATTCCCCTGCTTTTTTCCCAATCCATTTTTTGGGTTGTACTTGTGAAAATGGCTTGAGGGGGAGTGGCATAAAAATCCTTTTAGAAAAACTCTGCCAGTCACCTTACAAATGAATTTCGCTGAAAGCCAAACAATAGGATGGATGTGGCATATTTGGCCAATAAATGTTATCCAGTCTCAATGCAAAGCTTTACTCAACAGAAATTTATTTAGTTCCTGTTCGTCTCTTGACTCTACTCTCTATGAGAGGGCTGCCAGTCTCAGTGTCTGTGGAGACAGGGGTGACTTGGGCATTTCAGTTACCTTGTTTGGGTCTCAGACCACCCCTGTGTGCATTGCAACATCTTGGGATGTGGGGTTTGGAACTCCATCTCTCCCACCACAGCCTTGTGCTTTTATTTGTTAAACATTTCTAAACTCAGCCCTTAGTCATGTGTGGCAAGAAAGCTCAATAACCAGGTGATTGCTCTCTTTAATGACCAGCTTATTGGTAAACTATAAAATTCAGTGATCTTTGCAATGCAGCTGTCACATGGTCTGCTTCAGGAAGGCTTTTGTACACAAGGTGATTTCAGTGAAAGTTTCCTTCTTTTCCTATCTGCAGCAGATAAACCTGGCAATACCTGTTTGTGTTTTAAATTGGTTGAGACAATTTTGTACTCCAGGGTAAACCTGCAGTTTTAATAAAGTTGAGAGGTGAAGATGGATTGGGAATGAAAGTGGAAAGTGGCAAGACCACAGGAAAGGTCAGTGCCCTGGCCCAGCTCTATGCACAGAAGTGTTACCTCTTTCCCTCTCTGCTGCCCTTCTGCTCCTCTTGAAATCAGGGCTTACGAATCAGTCATCATCTCTGCCACCAGTGCCTGACTCCTCTGAAGGATCAAGTGCTAATGTGGCTTAAAACATTACCAGCTGCAACCCAGATCTGCAGGATCCAGGGGGAATAGCAGCATCTCTTAGCTTTTTGTGTAGATGGTGTGTGTCCCCCTGCCATGCACCACACACTTAAATCTGTCTGATAGAGGCTCTTGTTTGTATGTTTGCAACTTCCACTCATCTCAAATTGATCTCACGTCTTTGCTTTTAGGTTCCTTTTTCCCATTTTCCAAATTCCATCCTTCACAGGCGTGATGTGATCTTAAAGCTGAGTTTGACTCCTACCTGGGGAACCTCATAACCGGCCTGAAGGTTTCCTGATGTCAATCCACTCAGCAGTACTATTTCATTTTCCTTCGGAGGCTGTACGTTCATCGAACTGATCAGTTTGGGGAGACTGGGTGAGACGCTGATCAATTTCTGTAGTATGAAGCAGACATTTTGCTCTCAGGTGATAAAGTCTGAGTTGCACAGTTATATTCATTAAAATGAAATATCACTTAAAGGCATCCTTGGAGAAAGCTCACTTGAAAGCATTACTTCAAGTATATTAAGAATAGAACTGGTAGCATTAAAACACGTATTCTTTCTTTTGAGACACCAGACAAGACAAGGATGACAGTATAAACTTTTGCTCAAGTGTCCAGCAGGACAATCTGCCATCCCTCACATTGTCACATGCTAAACAGCTTGATTGGATTGGTGCATCTGTGAAAACAGTGTCTCTCTCATGGCCTGAAACACAAAAGCTTCAGTAGACATGGTAATGAGAACAGGGCAAATCTTCCTGTTTTCCTCCAGGCATATGACTAGTAAGAAACCAGTGGAAGTTACCTGGAAATTGCCAACCAAACTGGTGCAATGCTAAACATGGAACAGCAAAACTATTGTAGATACATGAAATAAGCCTTTCTTTTCTTTTACACTGTGTACCTTCATGACCTTCCATTTGTAATGATACAGTCACTCCCTATATGTTATGTATTTGTTAGAGGCAAAAGCAGTGACAGTCACAGCATCAGTGGTGCTGTACAGGAGATCTGTATTGCCCCCAGCACGTGCAGGGGACATCTGTGCTCCTTTGTGTAAGAAGGCCAGAACAAAAAGGCAATACCTATGCTGAGAGTACAGCTCTCTCTGCAAAGGATCTTGGTGCCCTTGCTCTGTGAACAGAGAACCAAGGCTGACCCCTTAGAGCAGGAGAAGAGGAAATACCACCTCAATTTTCTGCACCACCGTGGCCCAGGTGTTAGTGCAGAACATGTGGCAAAGCCCTTCAGGGAGTGCAGATTTGGGCACCCAGCCATCTGCTTTAGTTACTAACCAAGGCAACAATACTTCATTTTCTTTCCTTTTCATCCTCAAAATATTAAGCTTGCAGTACTGCTATTTCTCCTTGACTTCAATTGGATATAAAACTTTCTGGCTTAGAAAATAAATCAATATTAGGAAACTATTCACTTTTCAGGGAACTGATCTTCAGATGAGACTAAGTATTTTTATGTGATATAATTGAATTCAGTGCTTCAATTCATTTAGATGTTTCACTGTAGCATAAAAAAGTTCTCATCTTTTTTTTTTTTTTTTAATTATAACCTTTCTATTATCACAAACACTTCCTGAAGTATTTCTATTTTTCTACTGCCTAAATTGCCACATTTTATCAGATTTCTTAGGTAGGAAGTTATTTATATACTTCACTTCTTTACCTTTTCTTCAGGAAAAAAAAAGAAGTCTGGAAGCATAATTATTTTACACAAAACTCCCCAATTTAACCCATTCCAAGGTTAAATCAGTAACACAAAATCCTAACAGTACCTATTAGTAAATCAAGTACCTGCTAGTAAATAGTTATATATTTCATACGAAAAACAGCTGTGCTAACATCTTCAAAATTATTTTAAGAAATGCTTTCACCACACCAGTGTATTGCATAAAATTCCATGCCACTCTATGCTAATTTACACAACCTGCTTATTATACACTGAAATGGGGATGAGGGAGTTTCCTCTTGGAAAAGAATGCACAGCACCTGTGCCAGCAGGGAATTTTTATTACCTGCACTGAAAACTGAGAACAGATGTCTAGTTCTAAGATTGAGGGAGAAACTTTTGGTGTTTCCTCTTATAACTTTTGTTCCTCAACAAACACCGTAAACAGCAATAAAACCACCACATTTTAGAAAACAACCAGTGCTTTTGCAGCTTCAGTAAAGTAAAACCTCTCAAGCTGTTCTGCACAGTTACCCTGCTGATTCAACAGAAAAATCATTTTGCTGCAAGATGCCATATTTATTTTTGACAACAGAATCTTCACAGATCCAGGATGCAGAACACAGCATAGAAAAACTGTTCCTGCTAACAAATGACTTGCAGGAGGCATCAAGGTGCCAGTACTGGTTGTTCTGTGAGCTAGAAGTGTTTCCAGCAAATGAACTGAAATGGTTTAACCAAGAAACTCCCTGGGTACTTGTTTGGAGAATTCAGACTGCAACAATCCATTACAAATTTCTGGGATAGGAATAAGAAATGTAATATAGTCCAGTGTTGAGACAATTTCTGGTTCCTTATGCATTGCTCTCTGTAATGCTTAAAAATCTAGGGTTGGCTTTGATTAGTTCATAGAGTTTTACTCTGTTTTTTTACTGGAGAGTCCTAGTGGGCCCAAAGAGATCCATTGTGAATGTTTTTGAGACCTAAGCAGTTACCTGTTTCACTTGCTCATCACTGCAATCATCTCTGTTGGCATCTAAATTCACAAAACAAACCTGTAATGAGAGAGAAAAAAGAAAAAGCACTTTATAAAGTTATATTAGAAAGTCAGCAACCCTTTAAAAGTCACTATATTTTCATTTTCTAGCCTTGTAGCTGAATCTGTGAAGCTTTTTCCTACTATGAGAAAGGCAGGAAGGTTAGTAAAGAGAACAGGGGAAAAGATGTTAAGAAAGGAGGAAAAGTGGAATCAGAGTTATGACTTTATCTGTGCTGACAATTGGTTTGTCTGATGAATGAGCAAATGTTGCAAATAAACTGTAATATAGAGGATATCAGTAAAGGTAGAGGAAATGTTAAAAATACATTTGATCATATATCTGATAAATTCTTCATGTCTTGCTTTTCTAATGATTTCTTATTTTCAGGCACTTGTTGCTAAATGTTTTGTAAGTGAAATTGTGAGTTGCTTTTAGAGTTTTCTGCACACCATATAAGTATTGGAGTATTTCTCCTAACTTTCCAGAATGTCTATGAGAAGTTTAACACTTTATGAAAGTAATTTTTTAAACTTGGTTCATGAGGCAATACTCAACAGGAAGTTTTCAGCACTGCTAACTGGGCACCACAGGTGCAGAAGAGTTTAACTGCCTGGTGAGTGCTTCACCAGAAAGTTCTGCTTTTGATGAAAAGGGCTTTTGCCACTTCTTTGATTATTATAAGTTTCAGCGACTATTTAATGGTAGTGAGATTAACTTAAACAGAAACTTCAGATCTAAAGACCATTTAATTTCTGAAGACTTTTCTTTTATTGCATGCTATTGGAAGGCCATTTTCTAATAAGAAAATTCCTCCTCCAACTCTGATTTAGAAGCAGGGACTCCAAAACTAGGCTGACTGTGAAGTTTATGAGAGTTTGGTGTTGTCCTCATTTAACCCAAAACCTAACACAAATTCAGGGTGCAGCTGAAGCCAACACCTGACTTCAAATAAATTGCAGATCCAAAATTTAACATAAAAGAGCTGAGTGATTTTGGGTTTTTTGCTTCTTTTTCAGTGAAGAGGAAATACTTTCCCTAATTCCATGTACATATCTCATAGAAAATGAGAATACTCTAAATTATCCCCTTCACCAACACTGTTGTGTTAGGCACCCAAGCTCCTGTTGTGTGCCTGCTTTTACACCAAGACAGCCCTGATTTCAGTTTATATATGCACATGCCATATGTACAGATTATGACCATCTGCAGTAACAGCCAGCACAGCAGATGGAAAGATCCAGCCAGTGCTCCCATTATAAACCAAAAACCACCCAGTGAAGAAGAAAGCTTTTTGCCCTTTTAAATAGTTTAATGTCATCTTTACATGAACTTACAAACATATTTTCCAGCCCTTTTACAATTTTAGCAAAAATATTTCTGTGTCTGATAATGATAACAATCAGGATATGCCACTGTTATCTGCTGAACTTTTAAGAAATAGTTATAAAAATGTCTAAGCTACGAAATAGTAAAAATATCCTCTAGTAACATAGTATGGTGGTTATGTAATGTCCTAAACATGCTACAGTTGATTAGACAAACACTTCTCTTACTTTCTACTGGGTTTTCACATGTAGGCATTTCACATATCAACATGAGGTAGTTGCCAAAAAGCATTAGAAAATTTCACTCTTGATTTGCACATAAACTTGCCCACAACAGTATGAGGTATGAGTTGTGAATGTGCAGGTGCATGGAGGTGTGTTTGCCTAGGGAAGCATCAACTTGGCACCAGGGCAGGAGTGTGGGAAGCTGTGGGGCTGGTTTCAGGTCCTCTGCAGCAGGGTCACCTCATGCTGAAGGCAGGGCTGATACTGAGGAGTGCTGTGAAAAAGCTGCACAGGAGCACTGGTGTCTTCAGCCAAACACCTGATTCTCTGGTAAACCTTGGTTTGTCCTTTGCTGCCTCCATGGAATGATGACTCAGGACATTGCTGTGATGAACTGTGGCACTGCTACCAGTGACACTGACTGCCATCCTAAAGCCAGGCTCTCTCCAAGCAGCCAGAAAAATCATCTCTGGTTCAGGCGTGCATGGCACATAACTCACTAATGCCTCAACAGAAGAAACCTCAGTACAAGCAGGAATAGCTAGTGCTTTAAGTCCTTCCTTCCTTCCTTCCTTCCTTCCTTCCTTCCTTCCTTCCTTCCTTCCTTCCTTCCTTCCTTCCTTCCTTCCTTCCTTCCTTCCTTCCTTCCTTCCTTCCTTCCTTCCTTCCTTCCTTCCTTCCTTCCTTCCTTCCTTCCTTCCTTCCTTCCTTCCTTCCTTCCTTCCTTCCTTCCTTCCTTCCTTCCTTCCTTCCTTCCTTCCTTCCTTCCTTCCTTCCTTCCTTCCTTCCTTCCTTCCTTCCTTCCTTCCTTCCTTCCTTCCTTCCTTCCTTCCTTCCTTCCTTCCTTCCTTCCTTCCTTCCTTCCTTCCTTCCTTCCTTCCTTCCTTCCTTCCTTCCCTCCTTCCCTCCCTCCCTCCTTCCTTCCCTCCCTCCCTCCTTCCTTCCCTCCTTCCTTTCCTCCTTCCCCTTTTCATTTCTTTCTTGATTTTCAGAACCTAATGGACTTGCACTGTAAAACCTGCTGCAGTACTGAATCCAGTTTCCAAATACACTTGTCAAATTCCATTGCTACTGATTTATTACACTGCCAAAGCAGTTTTTTACCATTTCCTGTTCTGTGGATTTCGCAGTTTTAATTACAGGCAATTTTAAAACAAAAAGTTTCACAGTGGTGAAAGACACTGATGAACTAATTTACTTTTTCCCGTTGCTGTGAGCAGGAGGCAGGATGAGATGGGGAGGTACTGTAACCACAAATTACCTGTACAGTTCCATTCTGGCCTGCTCTGCACTACTGCTTCCTTCTAGGAAGTTCACTCTGAGGATATTTTTGTTGGAGGTACTTCACCAGTGGTGCTCAAAGAGAAAATGATCTATTATGAAAAATCTCTCCCTGTTTTCTTCTTACACAATACAAGTTTTAAGCTCTCATTAGCTTGGATTGCTTGATTAACTTATAGTAATTATCAGGGACACCTCCATCAAAACAAGGCAAAATAACACTAGAGAACAATTAATAATTTGGATGGAAACACTGCATAAACTATGAAGGAAGAGCCAAGGTCAGGTCAGGATTTGTTAACCTCAATTTAATTCTGATTTTTTTTTCTTTGTATCAGTTGCAGCTCAGTTCAGCTGTAACCCAACCTTCTCCTTATCACGGTATCTTTAAATGTCAGTCCTTTCCCAGCCACTCCTTTATTTCTTCACATCCTTGACTTCCCACAAACACCTTTTCAGTTCCAAAGTGTGTCTGCTTTCCACTTACACTGATTTTTTGTGTGGAAGCCATACAGAAACTTCAAGATATTGCCTATTTTTCTGCCTTAGGAAATACTTATTTAGGAGGGAGAAAACAACAAAATTTAAATGGTGTTGCATAATACAAAAAAGAAACAACCCACCACCCAAATTCAGGCTTTACACAGTGAGATAGTCACCCACAACCTCCTGGGTAGGTGCCAGGATCTGCTTTTGGCTCAGTAGTTTTTCCAAGTTTAGAAGTCCCATTTGCTCAAGAGAGAAGAGTGCTGTTCTTTTGGTGAACATGTACCACAGCACTGAAATGCAGAACAAAGCAGGGTGCTACATGTCCTGAAAGCATTTAATGCACAGGCACACTGTGAATAGCAACTTTTGCACTATGCAGATTCTTGTACATCAATATCACAGATTTGGGGCTGACCCCCAACCTTCCTCTTATCAAACCCTCCAAGCATTTCTACTAAGATAGTTCCAGCCAGGTTATCATCACTAACTTGCTGAGCCCTTGAAGAAGTCTTTACTTTTCATGATCATATAAAAAGCAAATAGAGAAACTTTTTTTTCCTTTTTTTCTTCTGTATTTTGCATGGTAATTTTTATAACTGGTAGGAGATACATAGGGTAAATTCTGTAGATCAGTGGAGTCCTGCTCTTGAGTTGGGGTAGAAATTATGTAGACAGCTCAATTCTTAAAAGAACTATATATTAATAAATTCTTTTTTATTTAAGGATGTAATGTAAACACAGTATATTTTCCTCACTGACAAATGGCTTTAGGATATAGTAAACCTGGTTATCAAAGTGAGCCACAGTTGTGTGTTCTGTGCTGTGAAGGACTATGGTCAACACCTGCTTGAAGTACTGCAGGAGGTGGGCTTTTCTCCCCCCCCCCCCCCATAAAGTCAAATCTACACTATACCACCCTCCCAATTTCACTATCTATTTTAAAAGAAAGAAAGATAAACTGAAGAGACAAGACTCAAAAATGAGAACTCTCTACAGATGGCTTGTGCAACCTGAATTTTACCTCATATGCCCACATTTATGCAATGCAGAACTGCTGCCTGATTCAGTGAACAGGAAGCCTGCAAAAAGGGGGAAAAATATGTAGAATCAGAGCACTGTGTATCTGCCATTTTCTAACATTTGAGCCTATGACTTTGTAACCTAAAGGACACTCCTAAGTACAGTTTCTTAGTTTCTAATACATCAATAGCTGGTTTAGGAGAACACAGTTAAACAGACTGTCAAAGTGGTAGCAGGACTACATGCAGGTGACACAAACTGTTTTGTCCCTGTCACTCCACCACTGCCTCCATCCATCTGATCCCCAGCTTTGGCCCAGATGTCACCATCAGCCTGGGTTTGGTGCCATCCACCTCAGCAGAGGTTAAATGTCTGTGCAGGTGTTTGGATTTGCACCAGAACTGGGTAGAACTCTCCATGTTCTGTGCTGTCCTGGTTGGTATTTCAGGATGTAAATGCTGTCTTGAAAATGAGCTTATAGAGTTTTTATCTGCCAGGTCTGTGCTGTTCTGCTTTTCCCATCATTTTCCTGACATATCACTGAGTTAACTCATGCAGGTGCCAATTCAGACACTTCATAAGGCACTTAGAGGGAACTGGTTTGGGACTGCTCTTTTATCTGCCTATAAAACTCATGTCTAATTTCCTACAAACAGAAGTGAAAAGGTAAGTAGC